GGTAACATACACAGCATTTGGAATAACATATATCAGCCCAGGGGACATATACATATATCAGTGTGGGGGAGGCGAAATAAAATTCATTAGTGTTGGGAAATAACATATATTCCTATAGTGGGATTACATATATATCAGCATGCAGGATATGACATATTTCAGCATTGGGGATAATTAATTATACCATTGTTGGGGAAATAATTTAAGGTCAGCTAACAGAGCCAATTTAAGACAAGCACACTCAATTTTTCTCAATGCTTGTAAAACTAGGGCCAGGAAGAGATCACAGTGGGCATTAATTTAGTCAAAATCCATACTAGAGTTATAGGTCTTGGTCAGTGACCTAAATAATTATGACCCAAAAAACATGTTTGAAGTCTCAATTACATATATAATACCTTCTGAGGTTGAGTAGAAAGATCTTGCAAACAAAACCTTAAACCATATATTTTTAAAAGTGCAAGGTTCAGACAAAATCCATGCTACAGTATATGCAGTAAGAAATAAAGTAACTGCACCTAAAACAAGAGCTGTCGGTAGGACAGCACGCTCGACTATTCTAAGTGCTTGATAGTAAAAGAGACTTGATAATGTTAAATTTTTTAAGATCACAAAAGGTCTAATTTTTTTTAATAAATTCATGTTATAGGCCTTAGAGAGAGTGTAATTATACAGTATTGGCTTGACTATTTGGAAGGTAATGTCACAAGGTTGTTTTATTGAGTATAATAATACTAATTACCTATGAATACATAAATTTGACAGAAAAGGTACAAAGGCTTCTAATTAAGATGTTTTATCAAGTAAATCACTGCTTTATTATTATGAATGCATAAAATTGTCCCAAAAAAAGGCACAAACCTTTCAGTAGTAATTGAGATAACAGCTTACAAGCAAAACTTTACCATGAATTTCTAAGTTGAAAAAGGGGAGAAAAATCAGCCTAAATGCAAGATAGAATTATGGATCTTTGTCAGTGACCTAGAATTATGACCCTAAATGCATATGTGAAGTTTTAAATAAATATCTTTAATAGTTATTGAGATATGTAAAACTTGCATGTAAACATTAACCAAGAGACTAAGTAGAATCAGCCTTAATGCAAGATAGAGTTATGGAACTTGGTCAGTGACATACAATTATGACCCTCCAATTATGAGTGCATGTGTAAAGTTTCAAGTAAATATCTTTGAAGACCTTTAACCTTTAACCAAAATTTCTAAGTTTCAAAGGGGCAAATAATTCTTCAAATTTTGTAGGCAGAGTTATGCAATTTTGCAAACTGATGAACATTGTTACTATAAAAAAGTATTTTAAATTTCAATTGAATATCTCAAGCAATAATTGAGATATTTGACTTTACAAAAAAACTTTAACAAAAATTTCTAAGTTCCAAAGGGGCATAATTCTGTCAATATTGTAGGCATAGTTATCCAACTTGTCAATCTGATGTACCTTGTTACTATAAATAAGTATTGTAAGTTTCAATTGAATATCTCAAGCAATAATTGAGATATTTGACTTTACAAAAAACTTTAACCAAAATTTCTAAGTTAAAAAGGGGCATTATTCTGTCAATATTGTAGGCAGAGTTATCTAACTTGTCAATCTGATGAACCTTGTTACTATAAATAAGTAGTGTAAGTTTCAATTGAATATCTCAAGTAATTTTTGAGATATTTGACTTTACAAAAAACTTTAACCAAAATTTCTAAGTTAAAAAGGGGCATAATTCTGTCAATATTGTAGGAAGAGTTATCCAACTTGTCAGTCTGATGTACCTTGTTACTATAAATAAGTATTGCAAGTTTCAATTGAATATCTCAAGTAATGATTGAGATATTTGACTTTACAAAAAACTTTAACCAACGCCGACGCGGACGCTGACGCCAGGGCGACTACAATAGCTTTCATATTCTTCGAATAGTCGAGCTAAAAAGTGTTAAGTCATCAACATCAGGGTGAATGGGATTGCCCCACTATTCTTCAAGTAATCAAACTAAAACACAAGGTTTTATTGTATAAAAATTTAATGGTTTTAATCATTGTATATAATTAGCATTACAAAATTGGTGGAATTTCACTTCATACAGTGCAAGTAAAAACAACAATTAATACTGAATAAATCAATGTACAAAAGTACATACATGTACATGTACAAACTAGCAAACTTTACAGTATATAACAAACTGATTATAAAAAACATGTAAAAGCAAATTCCTTGAGCACAGTGTTGCAATAATTTAGCGCCTGCATCATACTATATAATAGTATATATGGCAATAAGTGTACGGCATTAAGGCAAGTTTTATACAGTGACTGAACAGTATATGTAAAACCTTAGCTTAGTTTGATTTACGGTCACAACACAACACTATCATACGTTCAACACAACAGAATACAGTAAAATAAGATGTTATATGTTTTATTGAGTTTTTTGTTTCAACATGGAGAAAATTGAAGTAGAAGATAAAGTTCTGTGTAATTGCAGTTTATAAAATCAAAACCAAAAATTCTGTAAACATAATGGTGTTGTGTTGTTGTAAAATCATATGCTTAAATAACAATATTTTTTTCAAATAATAACCACCATAGTAAACAAAATGATAGCTTAATGCAAAGAAAATTAAAAATGCATTTGTATTTGTCAAAAAATACCCAAACTAATAATATTGATTATACAACACATTTCTAACAAACATTTGTATATAATCAGTTCAATAAAAACAAACACTTTTTATGTAGTTTTTTTTATAACATTTGTATAGAAAGATTCTACTACCTTAGAATCAAGCCTACTTTGTGTGGGATTTAACACAAAGTTCCGTACTATTGAGGGAAAGAATTGATCCAGTGACACATATGAAATGAAGTGAAGGTAGAGGCAGAAAAATTCTATAATGAAATTAATCTAACTACATGACAGTATACTAAAAATAGTTGACTTGAAAAAAAAACAACATTTATTTTCAAAAAAGTTCAAAAAAACTTATTTCTGACTATAATGTATATGTATGAAAACAATTATTGCATCAAAGTTATTTGGTATCATGTAATAAAGGTATAACTAGAACACTTTATAGACTAGGGGGAAAAAGGGACTGGTTTTCTTGTGGCAACAAAGATACGATAATCATATATAAAGTGAAAAACAATAAAAACAATACAGAAAATACAATATACTAAATCATACACACAATAAGATCACCGACCTACTGTTCTAAATCATCTTTCTAAATTTTAGCTACATTTGAGGTAAGTCAAAAGTTTGTACCATGTATTGTTGTACAAGTTAGCAAAAATATATAAACAGCAATACCAGATATTATTTCAGAACTTCAAAAGAAAATAAATTACATTGTAATAGGAAACAACATTCAAATATTGACAGGACTTTCTAAATCAGAATTAAGGCCATTTTTTTTTTCAGAATTATTACAATTAACAAATTTCTAAGCCTACTATGCAGTGAAAATTTTTCTAACATTATGCCTTATATTCTATTAATCGTCTATTAAACTTTGACTTTATCTAAACTAAGCCTACAACTGAAACACCTGTTCTACCTGTGATGGCAAGTGGGTGGAGGCAGATACAACCTTAACCTATAAAGGTTGACAACAATATCTAAACAGTTAATATTGTATTTAGAATTGACAAGAAAGGGGTCTTTAAAATGACCAATCTACTGTCATAAGAAAATTCTATATCACATGTCTTATAGATAACATGCATCACAGAAATATGGAATGTGCAAATATAGTAAACATCAAGGTATATTAAAGTGTAATAAAAAGATCAGTTAAAATATCAGAATACACTAAATATCATATTGAATAACATCCCACTAAACTTCTTTACCTTCTGTCATATACATATATATTATTAAACAGCACTTTAGATATACTGGTAGTCATAATTATACAGTAAACTCCACACATATCAATATCACCTGTATCAATATGTTAATTAAATTAATGCATCTGCCTTGGTCCATTCCAGTTATCATTATACATGTGAACTCTCCCACTTTAAGTAGAGACTCCCACTTTCTGTAGCCATATTTTCAAAGATTTTTTTTCTAAAATAAGGGGTATTTTCACAAATCAAAGAAATCTCCCTCTTTTTGCTATCAGAACTTTCTTCTGTGTTTATTGCAAATTCTAAAATCTCCCTCTTTTTGAAGAAAAATCTCCCACTTGATCATCGAAAAAAGTTCCCATGTATGCATCATTATAATCTATGTAAGCAGCTGCACACACTAATATATTTTATATTAATATCTATGCCGTTATTTTGGAGATATTGATGAAAATTTTCCAACCCCAACTACTGCTCAATGTGATACTCTCTTGAAACACAAACGACCATTTTGTGTAATTCACCAAATTACACAACTTTTATGTCTTATATATGTTGAACAAAACAGAACAATACATGTGTTGATTAACCAGAATTTTGTAAAGAAGTTCAGTTATGTATGGATACTGCTTTGCAAGTCCCCGAAATATCAATATCAGCAGAGTTTACTGTATACTGGTTACACATACATTGATTTCGTTTTTAAACAAAAGCATAATTACATATATTTTTATATATATTTTTTTAAATGAATGCAAGTTAAAACAAAAATTTACCTATAAAAGCATACAATGCTAGTGTCAGAATTAAGTAACTTGAGGCATATCATAATAATTATATAATATTTGGATAGCATAGAAGGTATTTATTATTACACAGTTAGTGCCTGCTATCATTGAATATTTGTGAAATTAATTAAATACATGTAATAATAATGGATATCAAAGAATATAAAATTTGTTCTTGCTAGTTTAGAAAATTCATCAAAACACTGATCACATCTCAATAAGCATGTTTTATATATGTTCTAATTAAACTTTTGGCGGTAATGGAAGATAAATAGATCATATTAACTCTTTGAACACCAGCAGCAACAGATTAACTTTATTGAACCAGGCCAGCAAACACGTTCAAGCAAACACGTTCAATCAACAGCAAGGCAAATACATTACATTACATGAGACTAGAAAAGAATAGATAAAAATACAAGTTACAGTAAAGTCATCATGAATAAAAAAAAATTTGTTCCTTTCAAATTATTTGTTATACAATTCAACTTAAATTCAGATGGCAAAGAAAATAGTTTGAGCAAAAAATGTGTTTATTATTATTATGTTTACAGTTAAAAAATTGTATTTTACAGGGGACAATAGGGGTGAAAGTTGTATCATTCAAACACAATTCTTGTCAAGTGTGTCAGTTTCTCAAATAGAACTTAATTGTCTTTATAAGGATCACTAGGTGTATTCAGAAGATGTTACAAAACATGTGACATCAACTGTCACTAATCAAAAGCAAATCCACTTGCAAATTTGTTATCTTTTTGTCTTTGAAAAGTAGTGAATTTCACTATATTTTGCTGAAAGGATCAAAGATAAGTTTCAAAACTTCAAGCAATCAGTGTTTGAGCCATATGAGGTAGATGGATATAAATCGTAAAAGGATTTTGTCAGACCAGACCATAAGTTCAGGCAGAGGTGATGCTTTCGAGGTATCAGAGTTCAAAGGAACAAAGTTTAACTGTACCGAGAATATGGGAATTTCAGTTAACTTTAATCAATATAACATAATTATATAGGATATTTAAAGAATGTAAAATTTATGTTTTATACACTTACACTCACTTTCTTCATTACAATCATTTTTGATTTACTGGTTACTAAATATGTTATGTTATAATGAGAGGTAATAATTACCTTACATAACATACTGTTATACAACTGATATGTTAATATTCAATAAATATCCATTAAAAATACATAAAATACCTTAAGTAATATTCTCTCAAACACATTTTTCTTGAATTTCTAACTATTACATATTAATTTTGATAATGAGGTATTTACAAGAATCAACAGGTGCATTTCATCTTTCCTTAAAATATCCTAAAAACCCATATAAATTGCTAGAGTTTTTTTTTTCCATCCAATTGTTGTCAAAACTATATTCTTAAAACCATCAATATACATGTATACTGCCAAATCCTGAAATAAAGTAAAATCATATATCATTTTATTTACATGTATATCATTGAAGATAAACTTTTAAGTGCTTTTTTTACAAAGGCAAAGAAGGAAAATTTTAACTTTTACAGATAATTTCCTTAAACTTTGCTTGTTGAGAACCATAATAGCAACAAATTCATGAAAAAAGGAAAGTGTCACCATCCTGCTTTTTGAGTTATCAGCCCCTGAAAATGATTTTTTTTACTCATTGTAAATAAAATCCTAAACAGTAGCTAAACATTCTCCTGTCTATTCTCCTGATTTGATGTCATACAGGTCATTTTATCTAATTTTTTTTTAAAGCATACCATTATACTTTATTTGTGAAGTTCAGGCATCATAATTATATAATACATTATCTCACACTCATATATTAAAATCTGACATGTTATAATCCAATAATGAATTTATAACTAACTATACCTTGTTAGAGGCACCTACATATGGCACTTTACTACATCAATCCCAAATCAAACAGTTTCCTTTCGAAATACCCTGACACTAGTGACCATGTCTGCAATGTAAAAAAATGGTGATATGTTGAATATAAAGATACATCTGTTAAATACATCCACAATGTAATTCACAAACTTGTCTTATATCCTTCGCACAATGACATGTACATGTATTTATATAAATAATTAATCAAAAGTTGCTAGTAACACAAGCATTGCCAAATTGAAATATTAAGAAATTGCTAACACCTGTTCCTGAAGACCTGTATAAAGTTTCAAGTGAATACTTAAGTATTTTGAATACTGCTGTTCCATGCTTTTATCAACAAGAGGGCCATGATGGCCCTAGATCGCTCACCTGAATTATCAAACTCATCCAAACAATTACCTAGACAAGCATTCTGACCAAGTCTCATGACAGGTGAGTCAAAAATGTGACCACTACAGTGTTAACAAGGATTATCCATATTTGAGCAGTGCGACCTAGTTTTTTACCCAGGTGACACATATTCAAACTTGACCTAGAAATCATCAAAACAAACTTTCAGACCAATTTCCAGGATACTTGGATCAAAACAGTGGCAACTAGAGTGTTAACAAGATTTTTCTATTTTTAGCTCCGGTGACCTAGTTTCACATGCGATTTCGAACTCATCCAAGCAATTACCTAGACAAGCATCCTGACCAAGTTTGATGATAATTGAGTCGAAAATGTGACCACTAGAATGTTAACAAGGTTTTTCCATATTTGGGCGGTGTGACCTAGTTTTTCATCCAAGATGACCCATGTTCGATCTTGACTTAGAAATCATCAAAACAAACTTTCAGACCAATTAACAGAATATTTGGATCACAACAGTAGCCACTAGAGTGTTAACAAGATTTTTCTATTTTTAGCTCCTGTGACCTAGTTTTTCATCCGAGATGTCCCATGTTCGATTTATTCCCAGCAATGACCTAGACAAGTTTCCTGACCAAGTTTGATGACAATTGAGTCAAAATTGTGACCACTAGTGTTAACAAGGTTTTTCTATTTTTAGCTCCTGTGACCTAGTTTTTCATCTGAGATGACCCATGTTCGAACTCATCCGAGCTTTCACCTAGACAAGCATCTTGATCAAGTTTGATGATGATTGATGCAAAAATGTGACCGCTAAAGTGTTAACAAGGTTTTTCTATTTTTAGCTCCGGTGACCTACTTTTTCATCCGAGATGACCCATGTTCGAACTCATCCAAGCTATTAACTAGATAAGCATCCTGACCAAGTTTGATGATGATTGATGCAAAAATGTGACCGCTAGAGTGTTAACAAGGTTTTTCTATTTATAGCTCCAGTGACCTAGTTTTTCATCCCAGATGACCCATATTCTAACTCATTCGAGCTATTATCTAAACAAGCATCCTGACAAAGTTTGATGATGATTGGGTCAAAAATGTGACCACTAGAGTGTTCACAAGGTTTTTCTATTTTTAGCTCCTGTGACCTAGTTTTTCATCAGAGATGACCCATGTTCGAACTCATCCAAGCAATTGACTAGACAAGCATTCTGACCAAGTTTGATGATGATTGGTTCAAAAATGTGACCACTAGAGTGTTCACAAGGTTTTTCTATTTATAGCTCCTGTGACCTACTTTTTCATCCGAGATGACCCATGTTCAAACTCATCCGAGCTATCACCTAGACAAACATCCTGACCAAGTTTGATGATGATTGGGTCAAAAATGTGACCTCTAGAGTGTTCACAAGGTTTTTCTATTTTTAGCTCTTGTGACCTAGTTTTTCATCCGAGATGACCCATGTTCGAACTCATCCGAGCTTTCAACTAGATAAGCATCCTGACCAAGTTTGATGATGATTGAGGCAAAAATGCTACCGCTAGAGTGTTCACAAGCAATTGTGGACGGCCGGACGGACGACGGACATTCACCGATCCTAAAAGCTCACCCTGAGCAAGCTCAGGTGAGCTAAAAAGTTCACAAAGAAAGTTTATTCAGTGCAATCTGTGTTAAATATATGGGCCTTGAACAGTGATCTCCAATAATAGTCACAAAGACAAGTTTCAAGGGAATACCTTATGGCTTCAGAAGATTTTATGAAAATACATTTTCAAAGTCCTCAAAGGGCCATAATTCAGTCAAAACTCATACATGTCAGAGTAATATATCCTAAATAGTGACCTCTAGTTATGGTCTTGAATAAGTGTGTGGAGTTATACAAGCAAATATCTTAAGTAGTTGAAGAGATATGATGTTGTTCATGTACATGAAAATGCACATAAAATATTAATTAAAGTGTTATGCTGATGCCTGGGTGAGTAGGATAGCCCCAATATTAAATAATAGTTAAGCTAAAAATCAAGACTAATTACCGTGCTTTTGTAGCACATGTCATCACTGATCCATGCTTCTATATCCCTGTAACTTTGTGCTGGCTTATTAGCATGTAGTCCTTTACACATTTTACAATGAATATCATCTTCGTTACTTTTGTAGTATCTCATCCAATCAAAAAAGCTGTTATATAAGGTCTCATTGTTCCCTATTTCAATCATTCTCTCAGCTAATGCTTTAATACTTGGGAAATCAAACACATTAAGGTAAGAATTAGGCGGAAGAAGTTCTAAATTATATTTTGGAGCAGCTATAAGTGGTATTTGATGTCTATTCAATGCATTCCAAAACTTTTCACTAACATAGTCTCGACAAAAACTGTTTTCAAAAGCTAAATAAAACTTGTACTTTTTCAAATATTTCTTTCCACACTCAGCGGTAGGAACTCCATGAGGGCAAACCATTTTTCCAGTACAAGATCCAAAATTATCAACATCAACATAACGCTGTAACTCTCGTATTATTTTGTAACGTTTTGCTTGATCATAACAATTGCTTACCATTGTTGTGGCAAATTTGGTTTTCTCTCGTAAAAACATTTCAGTATTTTTTGGTATCTTGCTAGCTTTAATTTCTTCTGGAGACATTTTATATAATGGCGTAAATGGATTGTATATTGTCGACTCTCTGCGGTATAACATTGTCCAATTAAAGGTATTTGGTTTTATATTTCCCCACATGTACGTCATTGGTTCCCAGCTTACCATTGCCCACACTTGATTTGGTGTTCTATACTCTGGCATTGTGATATCACTTCTAAATAATGTTGCAAGTAAACCTTTATGTGGCCATAAATCATTGGCATGGAACAATACGGCATCTGCCGTCTTTATTGCAGCTTTTTCTTTGGTATATGAACATGCTACAGAACATTTCTTTATTGACTGTTGAGCATCTTCAACCCAACCCCACCTACCAAAGAATGGTGTCCAAATTAAAACCTGTTTAACAGGCGCTTCTTTCCAGTAGTTACTCTCATATTTTACCAAATATTTATCAAAGTCTCTATTAACTTGCTCAACAGGCTTTTCCGGCATATATCCATTTATTTCAGCATAAAGTCTTTTAATGATTAACAGAAGAATTATACAGCATATAAGCATTGAAAACTGTAAACAAATTTTCTGATACTTTCGTCTGCTTCCCTGCATCATCTTGTTGAACACTTTATAGATCATAGAGAATAATCTGTCAAATACCTCAAGTTATCAAACAACAGTTATCTGCTCATGTCGCTGAAACAAACAAAAAAATTATAAAGTTTTATATATTGCAAATAAATACACCAACTACTATCCATGAAAAATAACCATGCCAATTTTTTTGTTTTTTCTTTGTTAAATTCTATTTGATTCTATTCATATCTATGACAGGTAAACTAGTCAGGTCAGGACAAATAAATCATCTAAGAAGATATTTATTTTCAAATTTCAGCAATCAAAACCTAACACTGAATTTATTTGTACAAAGCAACATCTTCTTTCCATTTCATTGAAAGAAACATCCAAACTGACAATAAGCAGGTCAAAACTGCAGCCTTATACACCTATATCCATCATCAATCTGGAATACTGTTCAAGCATCGGGCATCCCTGGCAAAAGTAGATAATTACTCAGCTAACAAGCCCCTTTGGTGTGGTAATGTTAATGGATTATCGATTATAAGTAAAATTAGATCTCATTTTTTAATTCAAATAATATCTCTAGGTGAAATAAATAACAAAAAAGTCAAAATCTAATTTTAAAAATATCTGTAACATGATGAAAATTCACTGTATCCCACTGTAACCTTATGTAACCCTGTATCCCTTGTCATGTGGGGGTGAAAAATAATTGTGTTTTTGTGCCATATATGTAGATATGTCCTAAAAACAAAATATCTGTAACATGATGAAAATTCACTGTATCCCACTGTAACCTTATGTAACCCTGTATCCCTTGTCATGTGGGGGTGAAAAATAATTGTGTTTTTGTGCCATATATGGGCAAAAGACCGTTTTAGACAGGAGTTTTGTTGTTATCCATTTTAATAAAAAAAACTTTTATAATTAACTTAATTTAAGGTAGTATTGAAAACATACAAAGGTCAGCAGTCTGTTATGTTACACTACAATTTCATAAGCAGTGTCACTCAAATGCTCAACATTTTGGATTGAGAATCTCTATATCAACATAGGTTACAAATTTCCCTCATCATATTCTACAAAATTTGAAAACAAACAATTGCAGACAGTTGACAATAGCTGCTGTATCCTGACCAAACCTCTTCTGGAACTAAGTTCTACTCCAACTCATTTTTCCCACAGACAATAACACTTTGGATCTCCTAACCCCTATTGGTCAAATAACCAGCCCACTAAGTTTCAGAATATTCTCAGAGTCTGATGGTGGTTAGTGGACACCCAGCACTTTTACATTTAAACTGGTGCATACTGAACTTCTACTTTTTACTCCTTCCTATAACATGTTTCACTTCTAAAGAAACTTTTCTCCAACTAGTGCTGTACAATCATTTTCTGTAATTGATCGCTGGATTGAACCATGTCGAACATATTTTTTTTACTGTGGTATGCTGTGTTTGTAAGTATACAAAACATGCTTGCATAACACAAAGATCATGAAGATGACAGTTTTAAGATACAGTCGAAATTCGTTTGCTCAAACTCGTAGGGTCTGTGCAAATTTGTTCGAGAGATCAGTAGTTCGAGCCAACCAAGGTTGAAGTATTATCATGTACGACATAGGCCTAAAGTTTTACATCAATCAAATGATAAATATGTCAATTTAATTGTTTATTAGTACATCATTCTGTCGAATATGTCATTTCTTTTAAATATTAAGAATTATTATCCCAGTGTTTTCAAATGAGTATTAAAGGTACACTGTGTTAATCTATATTCATGCATATTCAACATTGTAAATGGTTGAGTTAGGTTTATGGTAACGCGAGTACCTGCTAGATAATGATGGTTTTGAAAGCTTTCGTACGACGTACTGAATTGACACATCGCAACTTTTCGAATTACAAGATAACGATAAAAGCCGAGGTATTCTGATTGAAAACCCAAGCATAGACTGGTCACCCTGTGTCCTGCGCACTTATATGGGAGCCATAATAGGACAGGGAACCAGAACAAACGGATCGAAGCAGTGTATAAAATACCGAATGACAATTTTAAAACTGAAAAAGTAACTTAAAATGAACAATTATTTTATAATATGTTACGGTAAAAGTAAATCGAGCTCATTATGAGGCTTTGGCTTTTTCATATTATATGGCTTTTAATAGGTTGATACAAATTTTGCCATCAATGTCAGCCCTAAAAATATTGCAATGCACATTGTCAAACAGTTCAACAGCTAAACTCAAGCTGTTATTGTTAAGGAACAAATATCATTTCCCATGATTTAAATACATGGGGATGAAGTGAATAAATCAACGAAAACTAAATCTGCTAATATACAATATACTTAGATCTATAAAAAAAATTTGGGGATACAAAACCTGAAACGTGACAAAAAAAGTTCACTTTTTGGCGTGTCCAATGTAAACAGAAAGCTTGCAAAACTCAAGCTTCTGTCTACACTGATACGGTATCGTGTATTAAAACACAAGAAAGATTTTAAAGAACAAAAAAGTGAACTTTTAATGATCAAGGGGCACCACTAAAATACGCAATGGAGATTTTTTGGCGCAACGGATGCAACGGGCGCAATGGAGATATTTTTTTAGAAAAACCGGCACAACGACTTTTTTTAAAGTCAATGTGCTATATTTAAGCATCTAAAATGATTGTTTAGCACTATTAAGTAAGTATGTTTTAAAATGTTTCATAAATTGTATATGTTTAATTGCACTGAAGGGTTATATGCCTGGCGAAATGGAAATTTCATGGCGCAACGGAGATATTTTTTAGCAAAAACTGACACAACGCCTTTTTTAAAGTCAATATGCTATATTTGAGCAGCTAAAATGATTGTTTAGCACTTTTAAGTAAGTATGTTTTAAAATGTTTTATAAATTGTATATGTACAAGCAAAGAAAGCTATGTTCTCTCTAGAAAATTGATACTATCTGTAGATCTACAGATCCACTTGTCCAATATAATGATTGTTCCTATTCTTTGTTATGGCTCTGCAGTTTGGGGAATAGAAAATTTAAACTGTATTGTTCAGTTTCAGCTTGAATTTTACAAAATTATACTTAATTTGTAATGTTAAAACTACCGTTTATATAAATCAGAGTTTGTATTCGAACAAACTTCCTCAGCAATTGTCTTCATCTTTGTTAAAGATCCTGTAACACAATTTTTTTGTGGTTTTATTTCATAAATATCGTATCGATTTATTCAGGGAATAGACATATACACACATATATCAATTTGCATACAAATGTATATATAAAAACACACACATAAATGCAACAAATATAATTATAAGATTAATTAATGAGTATGTTCCCTAGGATTGCCCATTAAGCTAAAAGCTTATTTCCAATGGGGTCCATTTACTGTAAAATTGTTACACTAACTTACATAATAATAAATGAATTATAAAGAAGTTAAAATAATGAAAATTTTCAACAATCAAGACACATTTTTCAATATATAATACGACAAGTACATTGTACACAAACAAAATGAAATAAATTTCGTTTAAACTAAAACATATCAAGTACAACATAAACAAGTTACAAAAGCTTATCATATGTTATACATCAATTTAATAATAAATAAACATATTATTCGCTTGTTTATCATTTTCATTCTGACTCAATTCCTATTACGTGTGGGGTCCCTCAGGGCAGTATTTTGGGTCCTCTTCTATTTCTCTGCTATGTTAATGACATGGTAACTAGTATCGATTCTGATTGCAAGTTAATTTTATATGCAGATGATAGCACAATATTATTTTCGCATAAGGATCCAAAAATTATAGCCCAAAAACTTGGAAAGGTCTTGGAACGATGCTCAGATTGGTTAGTTGATAATAAATTATCTCTACACCTGGGCAAGACTGAATGTATGCTATTTGGTTCTAAATCCAAAATTAATAAACTGATATAATATGATGCTCAAATTAAGATTTATCAATATTGTAAGTACCAATAAGCATTATTTATAAAGATATTACCCAATTTAACATTTCATGTAAATAAAGGGAGGTAATTAGAAATTTATTTTCTATAAATTCTAAGTCGAATTTTCCAATAAGAAAAGAGTGCATGTAATTTATTGATTAAATATAATAATGTGCACAAATATTTGCAGTACACATTTTACATATTATCCGATGTTTGAAAATTGTTTTATTTGCATAAATATATACATATATGATTTTTTGCAAGTGTGGTATACACACAGTAACAATATCAATCACAAAACATACAGGATCTTTAAAATTTAGATGTATGAATCAGAAAATGCCAATTGAGAAATGTAGATTCCTAAAGAGCGAGAAACTACATATATGTACTTAATATGTGCGTCAAACGAACTGGGTGACGAATTTCACTATCATTTTATTGCTCATATTTTGTTAATAGTAGACGTGAATTTATTACACGTATTATTACAGGTATCCTAATGCATTGAAGTTTAAAGATCTTATGAACAGTTAAAACAAATCACATTAAAACAAAAGAAACTTTTATTTTTATAATGAAATAATTAAAAACATGCAAATAATAAGTATAATTTTGTATCATTAGAAATTTTGTTAATTAAGCAAAGATTTCGGTTATTATTAAGAATCTAGTCATATCTTTATTCTTTTTAGGGTACAATATAACTGTCACTCTTTCTCTGTTTTTATGTATATTTTTATGTTCTGGTTGTTATCGTTTTTAAGTTTTAAAATGAAATAAAAGAAATAATTCAAATTATCTTTTAAAACACATCACCTTTATTATTAAGAATTCTGGCTTCAATAAAATGACTTGTTAGCACGTTATGTATGTACTTTCGCATCATGCATACAGTACTTTACATGTTTTTATAAACAAGGGAGAATAACAGATTTGATTTGTAGTTTAGATTTAAGGAATCTAACGAGACAATACTTGTTTGACCACTCTTTTGTTCTCTCTGTTGTTCTTTTTACCCACATTTAGGAAAATCGCCACATAAATGGATAAATGAATGGGCGGGTGGCTGGGTGGACGGATGAACGGAAGGACGGATGGATTTCAGAATTTATATACATGTAATGGAATGATATGGCACAACTGTTGAACATATAAACCCACAAAACAACTGGAACAAGTTGTTTGAATTTATAGATATCCATGTCAAACAACATGGATCACACTGAAAGAATTAATTCTATTTTGGACCTTAAAATATAGTATCGAGACAAAGTAAGCTACTATTCAGTACAAATTAAAAATATCTCAGAAAATGCATGTGTACATTCGAAATATAAATAAGAAAAGAACAGAAATATCAAATTATTTCAAAAAGGAATTTATTATGATCTTGACCTACGACGGGACTAAATATACTGTTAGGAAACTCAAACAATAAATATCAACGTTAAAGTTTTTATAAAAAACATTTGACCCTATGTCAAATGGTAGCAACCACTGTCCGAGAAAGACACATTTGCCTGATCAATTGAGTTTGAAGACTTAGCCAAAATCTTGTGCTAATTGTGAACAAAAAATGCTAGAATGAAATTTTCACTGAAATAAGCAGGGGCATAAGCTGTGTGACTTTTCAGACAATATGAAATATAATGAAGATGTTGCAGATAATTTAGCAAAGTTCCCGTAACGGTTTAATCATGCTATGCTGCTTTCATCACTGCCATCACAATAACATGTGATGATAGGTAGTATCATGTGACAAAATATCCCAATACATTTACTCCTTGTCTGCAACTGTCAGTCTGTCACCTATTGATTTATTTTTGCTTTATTGTTCCCGATGCTTGTCTCTTTTCCCGAATATTTTTATTCATAGACAATAGTTTATTTCAGTAATTCCTACCGCCTACCTGTTTCCCTCTCCTTCCAGTGTATTAATCTTTTTGGTATTTGAATCGAATTGGGTTTATGTATGCATCATATTGTAGTACCAGTCTATCTGTCAAAATTGTGAGTAAAAGTGAACTTGAAAATGTTTACTAAATTTAAGTCTTTTGTAAACATATAAGAAGTAAATATATTTTTAATGAATAGCATTTGATACTTTTAAGTATATTTAAGAGAATGGCCACCAGAGAAACAGATGTCATTATTATTGGTGCGGGTATTTCGGGTTTAACTGCGGCAAAATTTCTACTTTCTAAGGATCCAAATTTGCATGTTTTAGTTTTGGAAGCTAAAGGTAAGTATCTTTTAGATTTCATTAACTTTTGTAAAAGTGATTAAATTTATAAAGATTTTTTTTCTCCAAAAATGAAGCGCTGTTTTATAAAATTGATGTACATATACCCTGATAGCATGACTCTTATCACGTAGTCAAATTTCTGTCCCATTTACACGTAACTTTTAAATATGTAAATTGACGTGGTTTTCAGATAGGGTAGGTGGAAGAACATTAAGTGTAGAGATGAAGAGTAACAGTGGTACAGAGACATGGGATCTAGGAGGTCAGTGGGTGGGAATGTAAGTATCTGTAAGGTAAACATTTTTGTCATTATTCTATGATTGTGTGCCAGTGGCAGTTTTATAACATGCCCAGGCTAATATAGAGCTGGATATACCTTACAGTACCTGTTGACAAAACTTAAAGCAGAGTGCATCCAGTACTAAGCTAGTATATGGATTTTGGTAGATTTTGGGCTAAGGTGTGTATTTCTTGTTCAAACTTAATATATATTAAATAATATTTAATGGCTGGCCTTCAATTCATCACACTTTTGTCCAGAGAGCAACTTTAAAATTATAGAATTGTTTCTGGGTAAAACTTCACAAACAGATGCAGACTAGTAAGAGGAATTGAAATGTCCAAGAAGCATAACTCTACCATGCATAATTGTTTATAATCTCCCCTTATAATACTAATTAATATTTGTTACACTTCCTGATACAGCCTTTATTTATTGGCTGTTGTCTGGTGTATAACTCATAAATTATTGATAATATCACATAAAACATTTCTGCACTTGTGCACCATAACTTTACATACTTTTATTATCTCCCTTTATAATCCTTAATAATGCTTGTCTAAAGAATAACTTGAAATGCCTGGAAGGAATTTGATTAAAGCTTCATAATATGATAGATGTGATAGAGACAAGTGTCCAAGAACCATAATTCTGTCCTGCTTAAATTTTGAATTATCTCTCTTAGTGATACTTAAAAATATTGAATAATGCTTGTCTTGAGTATCACTTCTATAAACTGTCAATAATATCTCATCAAAACTTCATAAAGTTACAGTGACCAGTTCAAGAAAGTTAAATGTTGAAGAACCATAATTGTACCTTACTTATATTTGACATTTGAAATTTTGACAGGTCTTATGCAAAATATCAAAGTCATGAAGTACCAGTAACAATATTTATATTTTGTTGATTGTTGTTTTACAGGTGTCAGCCTCACATAATGGCCCTGTTAAAAGAGCTTGGTATAGAAACATATAAACAGTATATCACTGGTACAAAGTTTATGCAGGTTGGCAGTAAGAATAAAATCTCAACATATCAAAGTGATATACCTTCATTACCATTGCTAGGTTTGCTGGACATGAATAAACTTATAAAACTGGTAGGTGTATATTTAGAATTATGATATACTAATGTGTAACACAATTTCAAAGTATCTTTGGAGAATTATATTAATTCTGGGAAATACTAAGCAATGATGAACTATTTCAACATCTTTTAATAATTTTTATTCATTTTATTTCTTTTAATTAAATGATTTTAGAAGATTACTGTTAAATGTACATAATATATAATTAGTATTGATCATTATAATTAAACAGTGTTAGATAAGCCATAAAGGAAAGTAAAATAAATGAGACATAATTTGATGAGTATAAGTTTTATAGGGTATAATTATAGACAGACAAGCTGGCAGACAAGGTGGATCCTGAGGACCCATTCTCTTGTCCCAATGCTGAACTCTATGATGCTCTAACATTAGAACAATTTGTTGACAGTCATATCTGGACACATGGTAAACATAGATATAATCTAACCTTCATGTTACATTAGTATCACATTTAGTCTTCAAAACTTCTCATATACAGTTGTTAAGGTCATCCTGTGGTTCTTGTTCATTATATATTGTAAATACTTTCATGGTTTAAGTTGATGGTGTTGGAAGTTTAACCTCTGGATAATGACAGTAAGCCACATTGAATTTACCAGAGGACAGGTCAACCACTGCACTATTCCTGGGCAGACTGTTAAGCTTTTTATCTGTACTAGTTGCTATCACTTCCACAAGGAACTGATAACTTCAGTACATGCCAGAGCAGAGGTACAGTGTGAATGACCATAGAAAGGATTTGATGATCAATTACAACGGAAGTGACCTGCACCGTAAATTCACAATGCATAGCTCTACCTATTGAGCTAACCAGGTGAACATAGTGATGTCTTGTGAAATAGTGTGGGCATAGTGTGGTCTTAAAAGAAATCCAAGAATCATTTATAATGTCATCAGCAAAAAAGTTAATTTGAACATCTTTTTAAATCTGATTTAAAGATAATTTCACAGCTCTGTGTGATTTGTTATCTTGTAATTTTCAACATGAGAACATGTTTGTTTGTAAATAAATAAAACTTTTAACCACTCTTATAATGATTCTGGTAGACAGATATAATTGTAAGTATTATATATAATTTAGATGTAAAGGACCTGTTGAGAGCAGCCCTGAGAACCATGTTTGGTACAGAACTCTCACAAATATCTCTCCTCTATTACCTGACATATGTAGCCTCAGCTGGTAACTTGAAAAATCTCCTAGAGGCCACACAAAATACAGGACAGGAATATCGTATTAAGGTAAGTAATGTAGAAAATATGTCTGTATTTAGGCTTGAGTTTCATTATTTTTGAAGACCATGATATACTTCTCACTTAAATAATGTACCTCTCACTGAACTGATGTACTTCTCACTGAACCGATGTACCTCTCACTAAACTGATGTACTTCTCACTGAACTGATGTACCTCTCACTGAACTGATGTACCTCTCACTGAACTGATGTACCTCTCACTAAACTGATGTACCTCTCACTGAACTGATGTACCTCTCACTAAACTGATTTACTTCTTACTGAACTGATGTACCTCTCACTGGACTGATGTACCTCTTACTGAACTGATGTACCTCTCACTGAACTGATGTACCTCTCACTGAACTGATGTACTTCTCACTAAACTGATGTACTTCTCACTGAACTGATGTACCTCTTACTGAACTGATGTACCTCTCACTGAACTGATATACCTCTCACTGAACAGATGTACCTCTCACTGAACTGATGTACCGCTCACTGAACTGATGTACCTCTTACTGAACTAATGTACCTCTCACTAAACCAATGTACCTCTCACAAAACTGATGTACCTCTCACTGAACTGATGTACCTCTTACTGAACTGATGTACCTCTCACTGAACCAATGTACCTCTCACTAAACTGATGTACCTCTCACTGAACAGATGTACCTCTCACTGAACTGATGTACCTCTCACTGAACTGATGTACCTCTTACTGAACTAATGTACCTCTCACTAAACCAATGTACCTCTCACAAAACTGATGTACCTCTCACTGAACTGATGTACCTCTCACTGAACAGATTTACCTCTCACTGAACTGATGTACCTCTCACTGAACTGATGTACCTCTTACTGAACTAATGTACCTCTCACTAAACCAATGTACCTCTCAAAAAAATGATGTACCTCTCACTGAACTGATGTACCTCTTACTGAACTGATGTACCTCTCACTGAACCAATGTACCTCTCACTAAACTGATGTACCTCTCACTGAACTGATGTACCTCTTACTGAACTGAAGTACCTCTCACTGAACCAAATACCTCTCACTAAACTGATGTTCCTCTCATTGAACTGATGTACCTCTCACTGAACGGATGTACCTCTCATTGAACTGATTTACCTCTCACTAAACTGATGTACCTCTCACTGAACTGATGTACCTCTCACTAAACTGATGTACCTCTCACTGAACTGATGTACCTCTTACTGAACTGATGTACCTCTCACTGAACCAATGTACCTCACACTAAACTGATGTACCTCTCACTGAACTGATGTACCTCTTACTGAACTGATGTACCTCTCACTGAACCAATGTACCTCTCACTAAACTGATGTACCTCTCATTGAACTGATGTACCTCTCACTTAACCGATGTACCTCTCACTGAACTGATGTACCTCTTACTGAACTGATGTACCTCTCACTGAACCGTTGTACCTCTCATTGAACTGATGTACCTCTCACTAAACTGATGTACCTCTTACTGAACTGATGTACCTCTCACTGAACCAATGTACCTCTCACTAAACTGATGTACCTATCATTGAACTGATGTACCTCTCACTTAACTGATGTACCTCTCACTGAACTGATGTACCTCTTACTGAACTGATGTACCTCTCACTGAACCAATGTACCTCTCACTAAACTGATGTACCTATCATTGAACTGATGTACCTCTCACTTAACTGATGTACCTCTCACTGAACTGATGTACCTCTTACTGAACTGATGTACCTCTCACTAAACTGATGTACCTGTCATTGAACTGATGTACCTCTCACTGAACTGATGTACCTCTTACTGAACTGATGTACCTCTCACTGAACCGTTGTACCTCTCATTGAACTGATGTACCTCTCACTATACTGATGTACCTCTCACTGAACCAATGTACCTCACACTAAACTGATGTACCTCTCACTGAACTGATGTACCTCTTACTGAACTGATGTACCTCTCACTGAACCATTGTACCTCTCACTGAACTGATGTACCTCTCACTGAACTGATGTACCTCTCACTGACATGATGTAACTCTCACTGACATGATGTATCTCTCATTGACACATAATATAACTCTCACTGACATTGTATACCTCTCACTGACAGACCTCTCACTGATATGATGGCCCTCTCACTGAAACATGATATGCCTCTTACTGACATGATGTACACCTCAATGACATGATGATCCTGTAAAAACATAATGACCCTCTACCTGACACAATTTATCTGTCACTGGCATGATGTACCTCTCATTACATGATGTATCTTTAAATGAAACGATGAATCTCTCACTGACATGAAGACCATCTCATTGACATTGTTCGCTTTTCACTGACACATGATATGGCATTATGTACCTCTAACCAACATGATGTACCTTTCACTGACATGATGTACTCTAACCAACATGATGTTCCTCTCACAAACATGATGTACCTCTAACCAACATGATGTACCTCTAACCAACATGATGTACCTCTAACCAACATGATGTACTTCTAACCAACATGACATACCACTAACCAACATGATGTACCTCAAACCAACATGATGTACTTCTAACCAACATGATGTACCACTAACCAACATGATGTACCTCTAACCAACATGACATACCACTAACCAACATGATGTACCTCTAACCAACATGATGAACCACACACCAACATGATGTACCTCTAACCAACATGATGTACCTCTTACCAACATGATGTACCACTAACCAACATGATGTACCTCTAACCAACATGATGTACCTCTAACAAACATGATGTACCTCTAACCAACATGATGTACCTCTAACCAACATGATGTACCTCTAACCAACATGATGAACCGCACACCAACATGACATACCACTAACCAACATGATGTACCTCTAACCAACATGATGTACCTCTAACCAACATGATGTACCACTAACCAACATGATGTACCTCTAACCAACATGATGTACCTCTAACAAACATGATGTACCTCTAACAAACATGATGTACCTCTAACCAACATGATGTACCACTAACCAACATGATGTACCTCTAACCAACATGATGTACCTCTAACCAACATGATGTACCTCTAACCAACATGATGTACCTCTAACAAACATGATGTACCTCTAACCAACATGATGTACCACTTACCAACATGATGTACCTCTAACCAACATGATGTACCTCTAACCAACATGATGTACCTCTAACCAACATGATGTACCTCTAACCAACATGATGTACCTCTAACCAACATGTTGTACCTCTAACCAACATGACGTACCTCTCACCAACATGACGTACCTCTAACCAACATGATGTACCTTTCACTGATATGATACATCTCTATCTGACTCACTGTCTGACTGACATGTTGAAATGCCTTAAATAAATTTTTTTGTATTGTATTTGAATGATAACTATATTTTACAGGGTGGTTCCCAGCAGGTGTCATTAAAGCTATTGGAGTCTATAGGAAGCTCAAGAGTGTTACTGAATGAGCCGGTAACCAGGGTTGAACAAAACCAAGATGGAGTCATAGTCTGGTCAAAAAATGGATGCAATTATAAGTGTCAGAAACTTATAGTATCCATTCCTCCATTTCAGATAGGTTAGTTGATATGTATAAATTCTCCTTTATATTGTTGAACGTAACTTCATAATAACCACTCAACTTTTGCTAAGCACTAAAGTTACTCCCTAATATAAATATTCCATTTTTATGAGTTGCAATATTGTTGAACAGTAACTGTTGTCATACATGTAATATAAGCTCAACTTCAGCTCAATACCAAAAGATTCTCACTATTTTATAAAAGTATAAAAAAGATTCCAGTATTTATTTTGGCATAGTATGATTCAGCAATTTTTTTAGGTGGTGCCCAACCTAATTATAGGTTAGATCTCGCCATGTTGTCACAGAAAACACGCACCCCTCGTTTTTCTGTTGTTTGTTGCTTTTAAGTCACATACTTTAACATTGAAAATTATTTCTTTCTTACCATGCTAAAGGAATGTGTTTATCCGGGATGTAAATTTTGAGTGTAGTTTATAAGTTTATCTAGCAGAGGAATTTGATGATGTTTTACATTTCAATTTTCAGGTAAAATTCAGTTTAGTCCAGTTCTACCAGTTGAAACTAGAGAAATTATCAAGAGGATGCCACCATCTAGTATCATCAAATTTGTTGTTACATACCCTGAGGTAATATATGTTTATATAATTAGAAAAACGGTTGTATGTAAAAATAGGTTATGTAAGTCGGGGAGTTGGGTGTGCATGGCTGTGTGGATAATTTGAAATTTAGGGATTACTGGCTGGGAGGGTTTAAAACCCTGTCAGGGGCAAGCTGTTGGTTTCCAGAGAAAGAAATTGAACACTATTTGCTTAGAACTGGTTGGTTTCAGGATTGGATTTTAGAGTGTGTCTATAAGCTTATTATTTCCTTCATAATCAAAGGAAAATAACTAACTGGTAAGTATATTAATCAAACAAATATTCAAAAAGATGAGAATAAAAATGTATTCTAAAATGATTATACAGTATGTAATTAATTTTTATCCAAAATAACATTGATGTATGTTTTAGAAAATAAACATTTGTATTAAAAAGATATAAATATTCATAACATGGTAACATGTACTTGAATAATAAAAAACCTATATACAGACACACAGGTAAAAAGACAATAAAGGATTGTAACCTGTCATAAAAATATTACAATAAAACCATTAAATTTGTGATTTGAAAACAATATTTCCTCTTCTTGAGTATCATCAGAATATAACTTTTTTTTTTGTTTGGTAAGTTTTCAATGATAATCGCTAATAAAATTATAAGTAATACATATAATATTTAAGTTACAACAAGATACAGTATATTTTTACATTCAGGCGTTTTGGCGTACAGCTGGGTGTTCAGGAGAAGTTGTAAGTAATGGTGGAGAGAGTAGTGTGATGAGTTGTGATATAGGACCAGTAGGAGTGGTTTATGATGCTACATCATGCACCGGGGAACCAGCATTACTGGGCTTTATAGGTGGGATCCAGGCTGTACAATGGCAAAGTCAAAATGTAAGTTCTTATACAGAAATAAGTTAGAGTATCAGTAGAACAGTACTTCCATTAACTTAGTTAAGCTTTTTAGAAAAACTGTTGGTTTATTAGTTACCTTAAAATAAGTAAAAAATTGATATATATCTTGTTAACATAAGTGATGAAATTTGAAATTTGTTTTTTAGGCAGTTTATTAACATCATACCTGATTTAAATATATGTAAACGTCATGATAATCCAATGAAAAGCGATGTTACAAACATGCAGTATTATAAATTGTGTTATAATGGACTGGACTGTACTACTTCTCCAAATCCCTCCAGAGGCGTGCACGTGGCGGAGAAGGCACACAGCAGGTCAAGGTCAAGTCATCTTAAGTACCAGAGGTGATTGGTTGACCTGTCGTGACTAACTCTGGAGGGTTGGCGCTAATGAGAGCCGTTTTTGTTATCGTCAGTATGGAACATGATGCCTGGACAGTATTGTCGTCTCCTCTACCACCAACGAACGAAGAATGGGCTTCAGGAAGATTCAGCTTGACAAAGACGTCCCCGATGAGACTACCGTAGTGGACCTGCAAGGATGCTAAATTCTCGGACATATGGTTATTATAAATAAACTGAACTTGACTGACTGACTGGACTGTCCTACATGTATCTGCTTGATAGGGGAATAGTGTGAAGTGTGTTAGAATTGTCTACATACATCCTATTAACATAATTATCATGTATGAATTTAATTTTATTTTAGGCAGAAAGCAGGCAATCATCGGTATTAAAATCTCTTGGTGAGTTTTTTGGAGAGAAGGTTTATACATACCTAGACTATAAGGAAAAGGTCTGGGACCAGGAACCATACAATGAAGGGGGACCAGTGAGCTGTGTGGGTACCGGTGCTATGAGATACTATGCCAAGGGTTTACGCCAACCGTTTGATAAGTTAGTAAATATATCATATTAGTGTCTTCTCTGTCTGTATTAAATAATATGATATTTTGATTAAATAAAAAGAAGCAACAAAAAAAACCCCCAAAAAAACCAGCTTTAATGGATTTTAATATGATTTGATAGTAGTAATGTGTTGTGATGGGATAGAAAAAACTTGTGCTTCAAATACTGCCAGGTCATTCCATTGAAAAGTGATAAAAGTGGTACAATGATTTCTGTAGAGTCCTTTCTGTAACATTTCTGATTTGTTCTTTTGAAATTATGGCGGTCTCTAGATCTGTCTTGTAGCAAATATAAAATGCTCTAAGATTTTCTACAAGACAGTTGTATATTACAATATAAAAACAAAATGAAACAAACTCACATACTTGTGCTTGAATGAGACATAGAAATATCTGTTTCTTTACTTTTTGGGAAGTGCCTCGAAGTTATGAGATTATTTTCTCCCTATCTTAAAAATGTGAGCAAGTGATGCTGGCAGCTGTAAGTTGGGACTTGGACTTAAAATATAAGCTATTTTTAGTCCCAGTATGGGAATCGTACAAAAACATTACAGTAATAAATACATTTTCTAATACAGTAGAGTATAATAGTTTGTAATCATATTGTATTTGCAGTATACATTTTGCTGGCACAGAGTCAGCTACTGTATGGTGTGGGTTTATGAATGGTGCTGTTCAAGCTGGGAACCGTGCTGCTATAGAAGTATTGTATGATCTCCGGCCTCAACTTGTTAGTGCACAAGATCTTAAAGGAATAAAAAGACCAAGGAAACAGTTGGCCAAAGTTGAGACTACAGGGAGGAAAGTTATAAGGTGGACATTTAGACTTGGTGCATTGACAGTTTTAATGTTCACAGTGAGGAAAGTTTATCAACAGATCTCAAATTAACTATTCGTGTTAATATTGTACTGAAAAAAAGAACATAGTCAAGTGCTTTTGCAGGGACAGCTTAGTGCTAGTTTACATGATTTACCATTTGTTGTCTGTAAAGTAAAAATAACAACATGAATATGACATCACATGCTCTGATTAACCAATGGCAATGATGTGCTGCTACTGGTTCTTGAGTGAATTTTTTGCAGTCAACTTAACTTTTTGCAGTCCTAACTTTAAAAAAAAAGTCCTGATAACTTATAGACAAATAAGTGACAGCTAATAATTGTGTGTATTTGAGTTTTTGTGTATTTGAGTTTATTTATACTCGCCCCCGGTTGCCGACATGGGCAGGTCCTCCAGAAGAGTATTAGTCAATTAGCTTATAATTTTAACATGTTAATGATAACAGTTTTACAGGTGTGACACAATGTTTTTTTTTACTTGTTTAAGGAATACAGGTACACAAAAGCAAAGAAGAAAATAGAGTTTGTTCACAACTTCTTATGTTTGTATATATGAATCATTACTAAATTTGCTGTGTATAACACAACATTCATGCATTTTTTCTCAAAGAAATGGGTCTTTCCCTTTCAAAGATATTAAATCTTTGATCATGGTATTTAATATACATGTACATATATGTTTTTTTTCTGAAGTTTATTTCCAGTTGTCCTCTTGACCTTTGTGTGGCTACAACTGCTAAAATGTAACTTTGCATTTTCATTATATGGATAACTGAATAGATCTTTGCCAAAATAGTAAGGGACATTGGATTGACCTTAATTAAGATTGTTCAGATAAATGGAGATGATAGTTTCCTCAAATTAGTATATATTGATGAGTGAATTAATTCTGTAATAGAGATGTCTTGCTATACTTTAATTATGTATTGACAAATCATACATCTATGAGAGGTGTCTCACCTCTTTATTTAACTGTGATATTTTTATGTTTTCCATATAATTATTTCATGGTTGTATTTTACTGGTAAATAATGCTATGATTTATAAATGTATACATTCTGAAGCACATTTATTTCATTGTTTTATTTCAGGTTAATCTTCCTGGGTTTTTTAAAGTCAATAAAATATGAAATATCAGATTATTTTGTTGACTTTTCTGTTGTATTTTATTATTATCTTCTGTGTTATACTCCCACACAACAAAGTTGTAAGGAGGGTATACTTGAATCAGCTTGTCCGTCCATCCAGCCATCCATTGGTTTTCCTTGTCTGCCCAATAACTAAGATTCCTTTGACCCACTGTCTTCATTTGGTATAGAGATTAGTCATGGTAAGTAGATGACCCTTATTGATTTTGATGTCACTTGGTCAAAGGTCAAGGTCACAGGGGCCTTGTCTGATCAAAGATTGTCCACCCAATAACTTTAGATCCCTTTGATCCAGTCTTCATATTTGGCATGGAGGTTAGTCATGACCATTAGATGACCCCTGTTGCTATTGAGGTCACTGGGTCAAAGGTCAAGGTCACAGGGGCCTTGACTTCAAAAAGCTTGTCCGCTTAATTGCTTCAGAATGCTTTGGTCAACAGTCTTCATATTTGGTATTGAGGTTGGTTATAGCTATAGATGACCCCTGTCGATTTTGAGGTCAAAGGTTAAGGTTACAGGGGCTTTTACTACAATAAGCTTGTCTGCTCAAATGTTTAAGAAAGTCAGTCTACAGTGTATTGATTTTGACATTTTCACAATCGAAGCATATAATTATTAACCAGGTTTTCCGAAGGAAAAAACTGGTTATTAGATTGAGGTATGTTGGCGGGCGGTTGGGCGGGTGGGCGGACGTAAACAATTTCTTCTGTGCGCAACTCCTCCTACATTTCTCAACTGATTTTGACCAAACTTTCACAGAAGTTTTGTCATCAAGTGCCCTGGCGCATATTGTCGGGGTTTTGCCATTGGATAATATTTGACCTAATTATGGCCCTTTGTTGTTTTTTTATATTTAGAATATATAGTGAACAATTTGTTCTGTGAGCAACTACTCCTACATTTCTCAACGGATTTTGACCAAACTTTCACAGAAGCTTTGTCATCAAGTGCCCTGGCACATATTGTCGGGGTTTTGCAATTGGATAATATTTGACCAAATTATGGCCCTTTGTTTTTTTTCCTTATATAGAATATATAGTGAACAATTTCTTCTGTGCGCAACTCCTCCTACATTTCTCAACGGATTTTGACCAAACTTTCACAGAAGCTTTGTCATCAAGTGCCCTGGCACATATTGTCCGGGTTTTGCGATTGGATAATATTTGACCTAATTATGGCCCTTTGTTTTTTTTCCTTATATAGAATATATAGTGAACAATTTCTTCTGTGCGCAACTCCTCCTACATTTCTCAACGGATTTTAACCAAACTTTCTCAGAAGCTTTGTTATCAAGTGTCCTGGCACATATTGTCGGGGTTTTGTGATTGGATAATATTTGACCTAATTATGGCCCTTTGTTTTTTTCCTTATACAGAATGTATAGTGATCAATTTCTACCATTCCCAACTTCTCCTACATTTATCAACGGATTTAGATCAATCTTCACAGAAGCTTTGTTATCAAGTGCCCTGGCGCATATTGTCGCGGTTTTGTGATTGGATAATATTTGACCTAATTATGGCCCTTTGTTTTTTTCCTTATACAGAATTATCAATATATAGTGAACAAATTCTTCTGTGCTGAACTAGTCCTACATTTCTCAACAGATTTTGTTCAAACTTTCACAGAAGCTTTGTCATCAAGTGCCCTGGCGCATATTGTAGAGGTTTTGTGATTGGATAATTTTTGACCTAATTATGGCCCTTTGTTTTTTTTCCTTATACAGAATATATTTTTTCCTTATACAGAATATATAGTGAACACTTCTTCTGTGGCAATTCCTCCTACATTATTCATGTTTTACATTGCACATAGTTACATTGTTTATTGCTTGTATTTGTATTTCAAATACAACATATTTATCTACAATGGAGATAATTGAAAACCTGGTTTCGTGGCATTGCCATGTTTCTTGTGTTCTCATATATTCATCCTAAAATACCCCCAGGCAAAGCTGCATAAAAGGGGGTGGGGGTATTCAAGTCATGCAGTGGCAGTTTCAGTTTTGAGGTCAGTAGGTCAAAGGTAAAGGTCACTTTGATCTTTGCCACTAAAAACATGTAAAATACATAACTTAGCAATGCACTGGTTTACTACCCTCAGATTTGGCAGGGAGGTTGTTCTTGAGCTCTGAATGACCACTGTTGATTCTGACAAAGTGGTATGCGGGGGTATTCACCCCGTGGCAGTTCTAGTTTATGTTGATTGTTGAAGAATTTACTACAGATATGAACGTCCACAATAACCCTTCCATTTCTTTGAGAAATTGCAGGAGTTCCAGTCTATTAAAAAGTGAAAGTCTAGGCTTTAATAAATAACAAGAGAAAGTTCTCTTGTGTGTATTCTCAGGTTTATTAACGAGTAGTTGCTAGGAAACAAAGAAACTTTTTATAAATGGCACATTGCTGATTGTCTTTTGTCTAAAGTAAGTTTGAACCCAGATAGTATATTAATGCAAACATGACTAAGTCACAAACTTTTTAATCAAAATAAAACACAACAGTATATCCTAGCCTGATAATGGAACAAGAAATAAATGGCATTGCCACCAGGGTAGAAACGAGCCAGTCTGCACATGTATATAATATGGACAGGATTCCTTACTGACTAGGCTGACCAGTTTGCATTTTCCATTTTGACACAGTGGCGTGAGACATTTTACTTCAAGCAAATCAAAAACCTGTCCCTTGCATTGACTCTTACTTAATATAGTAAGCTTATATAATAAGCTTATCAAGCAGCCTAAACTTTATATTTATACATTGAAATATGACCTTGACCCCTGAATGACCTTGTCCTTTAAGGTCAAACGATTATAATGAAGGACTAATTTAGAATGCAGCAAAGGAATTCTTTCTTTGATGATTAAAGGGACATGTTTTATAGTATATGGTACATGTATTATTACCTGCCCAACACTTGGCAAAAATACCTATATTATATCAGTTTAAAACTTCATGTTGTCATGATGATAAATAAGAAAACAGATTTATTTGTTTGATTGCTGAAAGAAATCCGTAGAAATCTTTAATTGATTTAGATTTTTTTCTTACATTTTATAATCCATTTAGGGGAGGTAATTTTGTAAAATCTACATGTAGATAACGATTCAACCTTGACCTTTCCAATGTAAACAAATAAACTTAAAAAAGTTAAAATCAATTTCAAATCTTGAATTGCCGACACCATTTCTTTCAATTTGATTAATTCAGTATGTAACAAGACTTGAGACTATTGGTAAGTTATTGAACATTTCATTCTTGCCAAATCTTTTAAAGGTGTGTAATTTTGTGAAATACCTGTCAATATAGTCCTGTCAATGTACCAGGTAGTTAGCCTCTATCATGTACAGAATAAATGTACCAGTATGCATAATCAATAGCTTGGAAGATTAAATTTAATGGCATAAATAAGCCCACAAATAGTTTCCATGGATATACTATTTAAAATGTAACTTCAGGGTTGTTTATTGTCAAGACAGTTTATATAGATAAATACATGTATCTGGAAATAAAAATGCAGTATTATCAAAGTAAACATGAACATTTGATTGCATTAAGTTAACATTGAGATAGGGTTCACTGTTATCAGTGAGGACAATAGACAAAACTAAAATGTAAATATTTAAATATACATTGTTTTGTGACACTGAAAGAATATGAGATCTACATGAAAGTGTTAACAAATTAGGAATACAACCCAAAAGGTCAGTTTTCATAATGTATTAAATCATTAATTGAAGTAAGATACTATTGTATTGTTTAAACTTTCATTTACAAAATGTTACTACTTTTTGAAGCATTTATTTTAAAAATGTTTTATGCATTTATCATTGGAGAAAAATTATGAGCAAACGTGAATTTATATATTATCACTATTTCTTTGTTTACATAATAAAATACATGTAGTTTTAAAGCATCATGATGTATTATAGATTGTATGACACAAGATGGAGGAAGACTATGATGTTGTGATTGTGGGTGCTGGTATATCTGGTCTCAGTGCTGCCCGGTACCTCCTTGCCAAAGATTCAAACTTGAACATCCTCCTTCTGGAAGCTGCAGGTATATAAACTATTCAATAAACACAGTATCGTACTTTGAATGAGCGGTGCACATCAATTTATGCAATTTAAAACCTTCTACTGGATATGTAACAATTGCTTTATCATGTTTCAAGTTAGGAACTGGTCATTGTGAGCTATCAGATGCAGAAAAAGCAATACCATAAAGTAACAAACATTAAATTTTCTGATCAGATTGCAGAGTGTAGACTGGTTAAAATACAACTTATCTTTATAGTAGCCTGAGTTTAAGATTGATGATTAGAAAAGTATTTCTAAGATTATCATTTTGTATAAGCATTCCTTTACTTCTCATTAAACCTAATTTAAGTTAAAAAGTTTGTGAATGTTCATGTTGAAATACAACCCTTTAGCTATTATCATCATTTAAACAGACAGGGTTGGTGGTCGTACATTTACAGTACCTTTAAAAACAGAGACTGGTACAGACAGTTGGGATCTTGGTGCTCACTGGGTTGGTAGGTAAGTACCTTATATTGTTACTAATTGGTTTTTAACGGGCTTTAATTTAAAGTTAATTAATAATTTACAACTTTACTCACCATATTTGTTTCCCATTTCTAACGTAAACAATCATTATATCTTCTATTTTCATTCTTGTCTTTGTTTTTCATTGCTCTTTAAAGAATCTCCACATTTTAGAAGTTATAATTATGTTTAACAACAGAAATTTTCAAAAAGATGGTTAATCTTTGTTATAATAATGCAGTTTTTTTTTAATACAAAAAGAGATTATAAAATCTATTGTAGATGTCAGACTCATATAATGAAGTTATTAGAAGAGTTTGATATAAAGACACATCCACAATACCTGACAGGTAGAAAATTTCTCCAGGTAGGGAAAGATAACTCTGTTAAGAGTTACATGTCAGATATACCTACATTATCTCTCCTGGCACTTCTAGATCTCGATAGGGCCATGAAAAGGGTAAGTACAACTATGATGTCATTATTATGTTCATATTTTACAATTTGTAGAAATGTATTCCTCCTATATTTTTAAAATTTTCATTTTCAGTATTAGATGGACCACATAGTTTGTAGAGTTTTCTCTTTTTGTTTGTATTCAAAGGAAAAAAAGGTACCTCAGACTTAGAGATCTACCCAAATATCTTACTGAAAGTTGTTCATGTCTGAAATAATGTTCAAACATGCAACCAAGATCTTTCATTACCAATGATGCTAGCAAGTGTCACTTCAACCTTTACACAGAGTTTGTTTATATATATATTCAGATAGAGAGTTTAGCTAAAGAGGTGGACCAGAATGATCCGTTGTCATGTAAACGAGGGAAGGAATTTGATGGCATGACAATGGAAACTTACATTAACCAAACTATGTGGATGGCAGGTACTGTAACTTATTTTATGCTTATCAGAAAAGCACCAAGTTTTTATATCAATGAGATATAGCCTATATCGCTTAGAGGATATCAGTCACTGCATATCACTCACTGCATATCACTCATTGTATATCACTCACTGTATATCACTCACTGTATATCACTTACTGCATATCACTCACTGTGTATCACGCACAGTATATCACTCACTGTGTATCACTTACAGTATATCAATCACTGTATATCACTCACTTGTATATCACTCACTGTATATCACTCACTGTGTATCACTCACAGTATATCACTCGCTGTGTATCACTCACAGTATATCACTCACTGTGTATCACTCACTGTGTATCACTTACAGTATATCACTCACTGTGTATCACTTACTGTATATAAATCACTGTGTATCACTCACTGTGTATCACTTACAGTATATCACTCACTGTTTATCATGCACTGTATATCAATCACTGTGTATCACTCACAGTATATCAATCACTGTATATCACTCACTTGTATATCACTCACTGTATATCACTCACTGTGTATCACTCACAGTATATCACTCACTGTGTATCACTCACAGTATATCACTCACTGTGTATCACTCACTGTATATCACTCACAGTATATCACTCACTGTATATCACTCACTGTGTATCACTCACTGTGTATCACTCACTGTATATCACTCACTGTATATCACTCACTGTGTTTCACTCACTGTATATCACTCAAAGTATATCAATCACTGTGTATCACTCAAAGTATATCAATCACTGTGTATCACTCACAGTATATCACTCACTGTATATCACTCACTGTGTATCACTCACTGTGTATCACTCACCGTATATCACTCACCGTTTATCACGCACTGTATATTACTCACTGTATATCACTCACTGTATATCACTCACTGTGTATCAATCACTGTATATCACTCACAGTATATCGCTCACTTTGTATCAACTATTTTAATAATTAAATGCTCTTAAAATGGCAAAAGAGAAAGAAAATTAAGAAATTATTCTCAAAAATATGAAACATATTTTATTTCAAAGTGATTATATATGTGATATGTTTTTGTCTACAGAATCAAAGGAAGTTATGGAAGTTGCATTACGTGGAGTACTGGGAGTTGAACTGTGTGAAATATCATTTCTGTATTTCTTAACCTACGTATCAGCTGCAGGAGGGTTGAAAAATTTAGTTGAAGCAACACCATATATGGCCCAGGAATATACTGTACAGGTAAACATTGGTATATTATCATCAGTGTAGAAAATAGGTGTCTTTAGTTAATAATTATGACTGTGCTAGAGATAGCTAAAACCCAGAGTTGTCTTAACACAAAGTTGTTTTATCAAAAACATATCAAAGTTGTTGCTTTGTTCTATGCTATTAAATTAAAGGACTTACCAAATTTGCTAAATCTATAAAATTGATCACCTTCTCCTGATTTATAGTAAAAAAGCAATCTTAAGAAGAATACCTGTAATGTGAATCGAACATCTAAAATATATAAAATTTTACTTACAATTTGATATTTGTCACAAGAACAAAGTTCTATTATCTAGGGAGGCTGTTATCAGATATCTCTACGTATGGCGGAGGAACTTGGTGATTCTAGAATAAAGTTGAGGGAACCAGTCACATTAATCACACAAAGCCAGGATACAGCTGTTGTGACAACAGAATCTGGGAAAACATACAAGTGTAAAAAAGTAGTTCTTGCCATTCCTCCATCACAAATAGGTTTGTTTTCAATATTTCAAGATATTGTCTTCAATGAAAGTATGGTTTGCTACAGAATACTGTTACATTATATTTTATAATTCTAACTTAAGGATTACTTTATACTGAATTGAAAACCCTCAACCATTGTGAACTTTCATGTATGATTGTTTTCACTATCAAGTGCTGAGAAAAGTTGGAACCTATTATACATATAACAGCTCTTGTAAACATACAGTTTCTGTCATCATTTACTCTAACAGCAAAAACTTTGTTGTGACATTCACTTAATTTTTGTAAATTATTAATTACCAAATTTTTTTCTGTGTGACAGAATTTCGACAACACTTTTCTTAGTTGCTTAAGGTTACAATTTTCATGCCAGTGGTCAGTTTTGATTGTTTTTCTATGATAGATGATCTTTTCTAAGATACCTGGTAGTGATTTTATAGATATGGAAAAAAAACTTTCATCATAGCAATATTTTATTTTACAGCAAAAATCAATTTTAATCCTCGTTTACCTCCAGTAAAGAGAGAACTGCATAAACGAATGCCGGTAGCTAATTATGCAAAAGTTGTTATCACTTATAAAAAGGTAATTTAAGCATTGTGAAAGCTCAAATAAAAAACACAAATGAAGTCAGTTTATCTGAAGAACATTAATTACATATTGTTCTAGAAAGTTAGAGAAATCACAATAAAAATTTCTGCTGATATTGATCATGTATTTACTGAAATCTATTAATTTGAGCCGTTCTGTTTACAAAATGGTAATGCAAAATGGATATCAACACACTTACAATATATATCACTCTTTGTGTGTCTAATATATCTGTACAAAGGTCAACTTAAACCAAATGTGTTTTTCAAATTTTGCACTGTTAATTTCCATGCCAAACATTTTTATTATGTTACTTCTACATGAACAAATTGTACTTCTTTGCAGACATTTTGGAGAGAAGATGGTAGTTCTGGTGAAGTTGTTACCAATGGGGGACCAAGTACTGAATCAGATTGCACCTCCGGTCCGCTATGTTTGGTGTTTGATGATACATCAGCCAGCGGGAACCCTGGACTGGTTGCCTTTATTGCTGGTTACCAGCTTGTAGAGTGGAGACAACTAAATGTATATTAATAATTACACATTTCTTCTAAAAAATAACACATCTCTGTCTGCTATGACTTCCTTTTGTTTTCACAAATTTAAGGAAGGTGAAGCATATATAAAATTGCATCTGTGTGCTTGCATGGAATATTTAGAAACTACACTGTATATATATTGAGTAATTTATTAAAGTGTTTTTAATTTGCAAATTTAGTTGTTTGCAATATAGCTCCATTTAATAATGCACATGTCTAAAGAGATATGATAAGAAACAATTTAAGCTTAATGCCAGCTAGGTAATCCATAGTTTATTGTAGTCATATGTTGATATATTTTACTCTGCTTTAATGATGATCTTTAGGTTAAATTAGAATGTCATTTACATAAATAAATTTTACAAAATTACATTTACAGAACTTAAACCTTCACAGAAACATTTTGAATATGTATTCATAAAAATGTATTAAAATGATTTCAAACATGATTTTTTAAGTACTGGCAACAAAAAGCAATAAGCATTGTTTGCCTGCAGCATGGAGCTAAATCAGACTATATATACTGTTGTTTGCTTCTCTTGTTTAAATATTTCAAACCTTAAAAACTACTCACAGAAATTCTAAATTCACAGCAGGGTAAGACTATTACTAGTTTATCAACACAATAAATTAACTAATTAAATAGCAAATGTTTTTTTTTTTTTTGCAGGATGCCTCCAGGAAATCATCAGTTTTAAAATGTCTGGCTCAATTCTTCGGTGAACAAGTACATGATTACATTGACTATGCAGAGAAAGATTGGGAGGCGGAGCCTTATGTAGGCGGAGCACCAGTCTGTGTAGCTGGGCCGGGTGCCATGAAATATTACACTGTAGGGTTGAGAGAACCCTTTAATTGGTATATATTCTTAATTACTAACTGAAGGACTTTCATACACTTTATAAAATGTTTTTAGAAAATCTAGCTTCCCTTTCACAAACTTTACAAGGAGTTGGAAGGTGTCTAATTTTGGTCTTTATATATTACAGAATATAAGAACTGTATCTTACTAAAATGATAATGGGCTTAATGTGATTCTTGTGTTTTATTTACTACCTACCTACCCAGTCACCAACGCATTGATGCTTCCATTTGAGTGCTAGTAGAAATATTCAACTGACCAATGCCATCAATATATATAGGAAGGTGTCTAGTTTTAGTATTCATAAATGTCGGCATGGCCATGTGGTTAACGCATCGGACTAGTAATCTAATGATCGCTACTGCATGGGTTCAAACCCCGTGAGGGGCAAGTCATTGTTTCCTTGGGCAAGAAACTTTACACTCATTGCTCAGTACTGGTTGGTTCCAGGAACAGATTCGAAAGTGTGTCTTTAAGCTTATAGCTTCCTACACAATCGAACTAAAATAAATTCTGTATAAACCAAATGTCACTACAGAATACATTGTGTATATAAGAACTGTATCTTAACAACATAATTATGGGCTGATCTAATATAGACTGTTCATGGTCTGATCTGTTTGCTGTTCAGTCAATATGTATTTCAACAAGTTGTACAATTGTTTTGTAATATCCAGGTCTGACTCCCATATAAAGCAAGAAATTGGCATATACCCCGGTATTATTTTTTAAAAATATTTTATTATTTCAGTATACATTTTGCTGGTACCGAGACTGCTACAATATGGACAGGTTATATGAGTGGAGCTGTACAGGCCGGGCATCGTGCTGCAATAGAAATTCTTCTTGACCTTCGACCCCAGACTGTGTCAGGTCAAGATCTTATAGACAACAACAAACCATTCAAACTACCAAACACCTAAATCATTGTAGAAAAATAGTTTAACCTTCATTTACTGTGATATAAACATAGAGATATACAATTGTGTACTACTTTTTCATGAAGACAATACTGTTTGGAATCAATTGTATTAAATGATGACTTTTATATCTAGCAAAGTTATTTCCTCATATTGATATACAATGTATCATTTCATAAGTATCTGAAATAGCACTCAACTGCTGCACAGTCTGTACACCTTTAATTTCTTACAATATAACCTCTGACAGCTGTATATGTGAATCCATTCTCTTGACTTGTGGTCTAGAATGAATGCAGAAACACATACAGAATTAAGATTAATACTGGTGCATTTATATTTTTACTTCTTGAACTTTAGATGTTTGTATCTAGCCTTTTGGGATGTGGCCTAGTTTTAAATGTTGATAACTTATAATCACTAACACAACACTTCTCATTCAGTATATATCGACCAAATGCTCTCCTGTTTGTGTTGGAGAGATTGCTGTTATACATGAAGGAATATACCTATGGGGTTATAGTTAGCATATATTCCTGTAACAGTCTAAAAACCTGCTTGGTGCATTGAGATATACAAAATATACTAAGATACTACATTATTGTAAAATGTTAAATTTTGAATCTAGGTTAATTAAATAAACACCTGTTTACAGTATTGTAGTTATTTCAATAATCAGTCAACACAAATTTGTTGTTTTTATAAATTTATTCATAAATTTTAGCATGTCACAATGTACATGTCATAAATACACGTGAATGTAACATGTATAAAACAGCTTCATGTATGAACAAATATACATATTGTAAACCAACAATTTAAAACCTTGCATGGGTACAAATAACCCTGTTTATCATTTTCACACCTTTATTCTGTAATGTTTTTGTGCTGTACTCACAAAAATGAAAACATTTAAATCAATAAGAGTCATCACTCATTTTTGTAATAAATTGAAATTCATTTTCCAACAATTTTCAATATGGGTATGATTTATTTTACATTAAATATCTTGATTACTATACTTTAATATTTATTTCATTTTCAAAAGTAAAACTGGTAAAACAAAATGTGCTTACCATTATGATAATAAACACTATTATACTTCAATTGTAGTTGACAGAAATTTTACAAGAAGAGACATGTACACATTAAACATAACTTGACTATTTTTAATAAGAATTGAGAAATAGTATGTATATAATCATTTTGAATTTAATGTCAAAATTTTTAAAACTTTTTAAATATTTAAGACAAAAAAATCTTGATGAGAAGTAAATAAAACTTGTTGATAAGGAAACACATCAAAATTTGTGCAACAGAAAATTATCACTTAACCCAGATATAAGCTATGACAGAGACATAGATAGTTTTTTGTCATATGAATAGTTTTGTAACAAAAATTATTATAGTAGTTCTCTTTAAAAAGTGATGTAACATTTATTTAAATGGGAACTGTAAATATGTTTACCTGCAGCCATAGACAAATGCATAAGCTTTCAGAAAATGTATTGTTATACTGATTTTGATATCTGGTTAATAAGTTTTACTTGCTACAAGTTTTAAGTTTAGCAGGCACGCGTGATATTTTAACTGGCTAGGAAGTTGCCCATCTCTGTTATCTATGTCTCTGGATATGAGAATGAAAACATGAAACTTCAGTTATGACAGTAAGAAATGTGCCAATAATAAGTTAACATTAAATATTTGATAATTAAAATACAAGCCAGGCTATGCATATTTTAAATAAGGATCAGGGTTACAACACTTATTATAAACCTTCAAGCATAAAACATGTCATATAACACAATGATGCTCTCCTATATTAAACTGTCAACAAATAATGAAGCTATCATGGAAACAAGAGGGCCATGATGGCCCTGAGGTCGCTCACCTGTTTAAAGGCACCCGGAGGGGGGCCAGTTTAAACCCCAGGGCTTTTATTTGAACAAACTTGGAAGACACCCATTAGAAGATGTTTCACGATGTTAAGTTTTTACTACACACATATAATGAAAAACAACTATCTACCCCCTCCTTCCGAAACCCCCTCCCCCACCCCCTGGCAGGGACAATTTTAACCCATGGGCTTGTGTTTGAATAAACTTGGTAGACACCCATAAGAAGATGTTTCATGCTAATCTAAGCTCTAGCTCATTGGTTTTTTTTAAAAGAAGATTTTTTAACTTTTTACTATATGCATATAGTTAAAAACAATGACACCCATGGGGCTGGGCCAATTTGACCCCAGGGTTTTTATTTGAACAAACTTTGTAGACAATTACTAGAAGATGTTTCATGCTTAATATCTAAACTCTAGCTATTTGGGTTTTTTCAAAGAAGATTTTTAGTTTTTGCTTTACAAATATAAGGAAAATCAATAACACCCGGGGCGGGGCCAATTTTGACCCCAGGGCTTTTATTTGAAAAAACTTTGTAGACACTCACTAGAAGATGTTTCATGCATAATATCTAAACTCCAGTTATTTGGGTTTTTTCAAAGAAGATTTTTTTAAGTTTTTGCTATATACATATAAGGAAAATCAATGACCCCAGGGCTTTTATTTGAACAAACTTGGTAGACACCAATTAGAACATGTTTCATGCTAAATATCTTAGCTCTAGCTCTTTGAGTTCTTTAAAAGAAGAATTTTTATAAGTTTTTACTATATGCATATAGGGAAAATCAATGACCCCCGGGCTTTTATTTGAACAAACTTTGTAGACACTCATTAGAAGATGTTTCATGCTTAATATCTTAACTCTAGCTATTTGGGCTTTTTCAAAGAAGATTTTTAAGTTTTTACTATATGCATATAGGGAAAAATAAAAAACCCCCTGGGGCGGGGCCAATTTTGACCCCCGGGCTTTTATTTGAACAAACTTGGTAGACACTCACTAGAAGATGTTTCATGCTAAATATCTTAGCTCTAGCTCTTTGGGTTCTTTAAAAGAAGATATTTAAAGTTTTTTCTTTCAGTTGCCATGGCAACCAGAGTTCTGCATGGAATTAAATTCTTTGAACAATTTTTAAAGGTGACCACCAAAGGGACATTCCTGTGAAGTTTGGATGAAATTGGCTTAGTGGTTTATGAGGAGATGTCATTTAAAGTAAAAGTTTACGGACGGACAGATGGACGCCGGACGAAAAGCGATCACAAAAGCTCACCCCGTCACTTTGTGACAGGTGAGCTAATAAAAACAAGTCCTCTAATATTGAAGCTAAATATCTCAACAAGCTAGGCAATACTCGGGCCAACAATATAATCAGTGTAGAACAAATGAATGATGTTTGTTAATGTATTGACAGACAAATTGAGTAGTTTTTATTCTTATTCTGCTGGAACCTTTGTTTACCATTTATTTACCTTTGGAACCTTTATTTATTTACCTTTGAAATCTTAATTTATTCACCTTTGGAACCTTTATTTATATACCATTCAAACATTCATCATGCTGGTACAAATGTTCAGGTTTGCCTGGTTCTATACTGGCCTGGTTCTCTATACTGGTGGCAAAGGCTAATAACTTTAGATTCCAGCTTGTTTAAACTGCCATTTTAACTGTTAAAGGTTTCGGGTTTTTTTTTTTTAGCATGACCAGTTAAACTTGTCATAAAGAAAGTACCAAACCCAAGATGATTAATGTTAAGAAGTAATAAATTGACAAAGTGAGATTTTAAAGAATTTTTCCCTTACTGTTTCATTCTATGGAGAATTTACAATACTTCCTTCTGTAAGACATTCTGACATTCATCAATAACTGTTGGACATCTAGGTTTCCTTTTACTTATTCACAATATACTATATTTACTTAACTTTGAGTGAATAATCTTATAATAAACGGACAAGTAACTGCATAAAACTTCAAAGTCAAATTAAGATTAAGTGCAGAAATAAATTCTTTCAAAACAATACATTTAAACTTAACTATTTCAGTTTTAAGTAGATGTTGGAAATTTTAACACAAAATCATAAAGACAATACTTCAATATGAGAAGTTATGAAGCACCAATAAAAACAATAAAACAAAAACACTCGACATGAAATAAGTACAATGAACCCATTAAAACAAATTTACTATGCAAGTAAATTATGAAATCAATTTAATAATGATATTCTTACTATATTGCACATAAAAAACTAAACATACATATTTTTAGAGTAGATATGTAGTAAATTAATCCAGTACTTTAAATAATTAAAATATGAAAATCAAGATACTTATATATCCTATATCACGACAAAACCAACGTTATCCGTGCAGTCCAATCAGGATCCATGCTGTTTGCTATCAGTTTCCATACTTGTAATAGGGTTTGTAAACGAACAAATGCGCAGGCTGGTCTGGATCCATGCTGGTCGCAAATGCATTATGTTGGTTTCGTTGTGATGCGACTCATTTGTTAAATATTGGTTACATAAATTAGTATGATAATGCCACATTTGTCAAGATCGAAACTGAATTAAAATCTCATTGGAGTTAAATCATCATTGACTTTACATCTTATTAATTTTAAAGAACAAACTCAAATGTGCTGTCTGTCTGGCTTTTAAGCATAAACTAAATATGCAGGTACTTTAGTGTAGTATGATACAAAATGTTTGGTTTTTACATTTAACAAACAAAATCATGCTTACTGAGAAACAATTTATAATGGCTCTAAGAAGCAAGGCTAAAACACTTGGTGTTTAAGGTAAACTAAATATCTGAATATAAGCTTGGTCCTATAAAATACTGAGCTAGAACATAAAAACAAGCAAATCTTGGGGATATACATTTCTTGGGGAAAAAAACCTAAATTAATAATTTTAAATATTGTTACTAACTTTAAAGGTAATGTAATGTATTTGAAATTTGTATAACATGTATCTCTTCATTCTTGGCAGAAATAAAGAAATCTTATCTTAAACTATTATCTTCAAGTTTTCAAACTCATGTCTGCCCTTTCTATACAATGAAAATTTCCATCTTATCGGAGACATAATATGCGTTTAACCCTTAGACATAGGTATTAACTTACATGGTTTGTCAACTGTGTAAAAATAAAATTTTGGGGTCTACATCAAAACTTAAAAATATGGCAAGCAAATAATTTCTTATAAATTAATTTAAAAAGTATACTCCATTATTTCAATTTTATAGATTTCTGACAGTCATGATTCATTTCATAAAGATAACTTAGAAAAATCAAAATTATCTTATAAACTGTTTAAAATGGTGATAAGTTAAAGAATGCATTTTTTTCTTTTAAATGGAGTAAAATGCATTTCTAAGTTAAGGAATGCATGTTTTTGTTGATTGAATGGAGTAGAATGCATTCATTATTACATCGAAAATGCAAAAATACAGAAATTAATAATATTGTCTTACAACATCAGCATGCTCTATATGTCAATGTATGCTCATTGTAAGAGAAAAGTGTGAATTGAATGAAAAGTATTTTCAAAACACTACAATGGTGACTGGTGTATCTGAATATGTCATTCTTATATTTTGAAGATTTGATATATGATGCATTAAAAATTAAATTAAAAATCAGCTTCAAGCATAAACTGAATTAATTTTCTTAAATCTATATCAAGTGTTTCATAAATTTTAATTTTTCAAAAGCAAATCACTTTTATAGATTTATTTTTTAACACATACAGTTCATTTAAATGATAAATGACTTAACATAAACCAATTTTTGAGAATGTTCATTAGTCTATATCAGACACAAATCTTGTACATCAAACTTGTACATTAAATCTGCACCATTTCATTTTGTTTTCCTCTTGCTGAAGATCAAGTTACCAAGTACAAAACACCAAAGTCAAACTTTTTTTAACTGGCCATAATATCTTCTGTGTTTCAGCCTAAAGATCACTTCAACCAATGAGAACACTTGTTGCATTTTGTCTAAAGTTGTTTCATCTTTCCTCCAAATGAAAACTATTCAGGGGGAACAACCACTCATTGACTGTAATTTTTAACTACTTTGTACACTATAAATCCAACCCCTGTTACAGTCACAACTCCTAAACCAATTTTCAGTAACCGTTTATCATTTGCCAACACTAAGTCCTTCAAATCACTGAAAAAAGAGAAATAAAATCAATATAAATACTGAAATTTTATAACAAATAACATAAATTCTTAACTAAAACAGTACAAGATTGAATAACTTGAATTATGTAGGACCAGTTATATAAATATTCAACAAGAATGCAGAGTAAATATTATACAATGTAGAAACTGAAGTTTTAAAAATCAAGTTGTAAAAATCAAGTTGCAGACTAGAAGAAGACATGTAGAACTTTAACACATACAAACAGAGTAAGACTATAGAAGATGAGGTCAATGTTACATGCTATATATAGTAACAGCTCTTGATGTTGACTGGATAAACTTAACATGCTAAATCTTAATACAATAATTTATCTTTTGTTGTTATTATTTAAAACAAGATTGCATTTGAGATAAATGCTATGCCACCGCATTAATACCTAAGCTCTAGACCTTTTGGGTCTTTACAAGAAGGTATTTTAAGTTTTTGAAGCCTTGTACCTTCAGACAATAAGATTTTTTGATTTTTTACTATATGTGTATATTGAAAATCAATAACCCCCGGGGGCGGGGGCAATTTTGACCCCAGGGCTATAATTTGAACAATCTTGCTAGAGGTTCACTACACAATATTTTATGCAAAATATCTAACCTCTAGCATTTGTCAATTGCTAGAAGAAATTTTTTTAAAGTTTTTACTATAAGTTTTTACTATATACATATAAGGAAAACCAATGACCCCCCAGGGCTATAATTTGAACAATCTGATTAGAGGTCTACCACACAATGCCTTATGCAAAATATCTAAGCTCTAGGCCTTTTGGGTCTTTACAAGAAGGTATTTAAAGTTTTTACTATATGTACATATAATGAAAATCAATGACCCCCGGGGCGAGGCCGACTTTGACCCTTGGGCTATAATTTGAACAATCTTGGTAAGGGTCTACCAGACAATGCCTTGTGCAAAATATCTAAGCTCTAGGCCTTTTGGGTCTTTACAAGAAGATTTTTTAAATTTATTCTTATAACTCATTTGGTTGCCATGGCAACCAGAATTCTGCATGGAATGAAATTCTTTGAACAACTTTGGAAGCCCTTCACCCAAGGATCAATCCTGCCAAGTTTGGTTGAAATTGGACTAGTGGTTTTTCACAAGAAGATTTTTTAAGTTCACTATATAATCTATATAACACACAAACATACATACACACAGGTGAATCGTTATATGCCACCGTATCGCAGATGCTGCGGTGGCATAAAAAACAAGAACACCGCATGATGGTGTTTACACTCGACTATTAAAATCACCATTTTTGATAAAAATTCGAAGTAAAAAAGATGCATATCTCCAAAAATATAGCTTTCAGAAATATGCCCCTTGTTTATAACTGCATCTTCAATTTCTTGTCATGATAAGCAACTATTCCAAGTTTCATACAGATTGCTTTAGAATTGTACATACATTGTAGTCCGATTATATTTCACTGTAATATTACCAGAACTTGTAACAGAAAGCATTCCGGATAATTTAAATTCATTCCATTTTCATTTCTAGAATATCTTCTTTGGAAACAATGACTGGCATGTTGAAACCAAATTAAACCAATATTATGATGTGTATGCTGGCTATGCCATCTTTTTCATTGTATAGTTCCTTCTTTTGGCATTTTTCATGCAATGAAAAGTTATGGGTAGCAAAATGGCTATTTCAACAATGCAGTCTGAAGGACAGCTAAATCCCATTCCGCAGCAGACATGGATCAGGATGTGTAATTTTTGACCTTTAACCAGACAATGACCTTGATGTTGTGCCATGTATATTACTAGTATAAGCACAAAGTCTCATGATAGTAATTATTTGTGCAAAGTTCTTTAAAATCTTCCATAGTCAAAAAGTTATGGAGAACATTTAATCTTGACCTTGGGGGAAGCAACCAGGATATTGGGCTCTGCACATCATGTCATAATGGTGATAATTTCTGCCATGTTATTTCAATTTTTTTTTCAGCTGTTTAAGTTATGGAGCGGATACCAAATGTAGACTTTTTAACACTTTACCTTTAAGTGTGACCTTGACCTTAGGGGTAGGAACCCAATTATTGCACTTTGCACATCGACTCATAATGGAGATCACTTGCGCCAAGTTATTTCAAAATTTTTGCAGCCGTTTAATGTACTTTATAATTCTTGACCTTGGGGGGTAGCAACCCAATTATGGAGCTCTGCACATTGTCTCATAATGGGTATCACTTGTTCCAAGTTATTTCAGCGGTTTAAAAGTTATGAAGCGGACACGAAAGTGTTAGGGACGGAGGGATTGACAGACGGAGGCTATTCCCGCTACGTGGAAGGGGATTAATTAACGTGTTTTCGACATTTACTTGTAATTTCTTAGGTATTCAATTATTTCAAAATGCCAATCATATCTTTGTCTATATAATGGAAATTGCTTTTGTCTATATAAGTGAGTGAAATTTCTAATATTGAAATATTTAAATTATACTTTAGCATTATATAATACATGTATATGTGACTATATTAATATACATGTATAACATTACTATCTTGTTATAGATAATTATCTTGTACATAAAATGTTGTTAGGATGAAGCAATCTAATCTGTACTTTGAAAATAAAAAAAAAACTCAAAATCAAAATAAATCAAGGATACATTTTTACTGTATGATCCACATTCCATATTACAGATGTCTCTTACAAATATATAAACATTCTCAAAATCAACAAATGGAAGGATTCATAATATATTAACTCTAGAAATCATGTAAATAATTCTATGAGATTTGAAATCACAAGCTTACTTATTCAATTTCATAAAACCATTACAAGGTACAGATTTAAGCAAGCAAAATTATAAGATCACTTCACTTTCTGATTCTTGATTAGGTATTGTTTAAATTCCTTTACATCTCATATAATTAATATTGAATAAGAAGACAGTACTGTATTATTAAAATGATCAAGCATTCCATGCTATAAGACATTAAAATACTTTTGTGACAGTAAAGAGATGCTGAATACATTCTGGTTTAACAGACAGAAAACATACCCTACATGACAGGTAAAAACATATAACTGTAGTACCGCATGGTAACGGAAGGTTCCGGGCAAACCGGAACTAGGTGTTAGGTCTGACAGTTGGGCGCCATATTAGTGTAGAAGGTAACTAAGAAGAATTAGGCAATTCCTAGCTTGGCTACGATCCAGATGTGGAAGGTAAGTCGATTGTTTGTATTGTCAATCCCTTTATAATCAATCGCGACAGTTCTATATAACTTACAAGAAATGACCATGTTAAATTTTATAAGGCAGTGATATGAGAGAAAAAACCTAAATAAATAATCATTAATGGACACTCCCTTTGAAAAAGCTATACTGTAAAATTACATATTTTTGCTGTGAAAATACTTCAGAAAGTCTATATTTTGGACTTTGGCAGGCTAAATATTCGCAAATTTCTACTTTCAGTAAAGATGTGAAATCTTAACATGAGTATCAGAAAATAGAAATATTTTGCAGTCCTTAATCGCCATCTATATGAAGAATATATTTTAAATTCATCCAAGACAGAATTTCGCTGTTTTGAAATGAGGTATTGATTTGATTTGAAAAAATAAACCCCATATGATTACCAGGAAAACATATTACTTTTGATTTGCAGAGTTTAGTTTATATGGAGGATATTTAGCGAACATTTTATTTTTTGCAAAAATATTTCAGCAAAATATGATTGCATGTGAAAATTTCTGATTTTACAGTAAGGAAGCTCCCTTTGAAAAAGTTATATGGACGCTCCCGCACTACTTTTCAAGGAAGAGAAAAATGTCATCAACCAAATTTACCTAAAATCGTACACAGACAAGATGTGCATGGAAGGTATCAACAAAGCACATATTTAAGATCTTAACTCAATAAATGAAGGTGCTTTAAAAAAGTAAGAGATTTTCAGACAGAGGAACAGATTATCTGCCAAAAATATTTTTTAAGGAGAATCAAAAGTCAAATGCATAACCATTAAACAAACTGACTAGTGTATCAAAGTTGTAAATTAGAAGAAGGAAAAAAAAAACAATCTATTTCACATCAAACTTTCTATGTGCAAGCAAACCTTTATAATGCTATTAAGCAATTTTCTTTTTAAATGAGATAAGCAAATTATTTCTTTGTTGATTATGTAAGTAATATGATTGTAATTCCAAGCATCTAAGATGAAATATGTTCCTTAAAGGCCCATCATGCTTTTTTTCTAAAAAGCTTTTAGTTTTGGTGTACTTTTATAGTATCCAAAATATTTTTGGATATTATAAATAAAACTAAAAGTTATGAGAGAAATTTAGAACAAGAGCATCTGTTTTATGAAATGTGAATGTGACACAATATACAGGCTACACAATCTGAAATAAATGAAGAAAAACAGCCCACAGCAGAGGAGGTAAATGATCATGCTGATTGTGATGTATACTGAGCCACAACAACTTGAAACAACTGAGAAATTGTTAGATATTGTGGACATGCTAGGCCACCATAGGTATCAGACCGTTCTATCTCATTCAGTGATATACTACGGCTCCTCTTGTACACCATACATTATGCTCATCTTGTTTTTGTTATGACTGGATTTTTTAAGATTCTTTAAGAAAGAGATTAGATTAAAATATATAAAAAGACTGTTAGAATTACAAAGACAAATAAATGCCATCTTTCAAATCAGAGATTTTAAAGGAGGCAAACTTACTGAAAAAGTAAACCCTAGATTTCAAAGACCCTTAAAAATTTACCATGAGCAAGAGCATATATATTTAGTTAGATTTCAAGTCACACAAACTTTCATAACATAATATAAGGTAGTACAAGAGGTTTACAGTGAAGCAAGACAATACAAAGAAACAGTAAAAGTTTGATATGGTATCGGACCTTAGTCTCTCCTCCAACCAGACAGGGTTTTGGTGTACTAGTAACATGTGTACCAAACGTTTAAGATTGCTGCAAGTGAAACAAACATCATTATATATAACGTAGCCATCATCAAGCTCTTCTATATCATCTCACTATTATATACAACTGTGAATGCTATATTCTGTTTCCATAGTAACCAATTCCAATCAATGTTGAAGTTTTCATACGACTTTTAAACTGTCTTAAACAAACTCTTAAAAAAACATGGCAAAAACTTCAATTACAGAGTAAAAGTTGCTCTGATTGAAATGACTGTTGGATTTTTTGATTTCTTTACATGTAAGTAAGAAGATGCAAGTCAATTTCTCACATCAAATATTTTCCTAGACAGAATATAACTTCACAGTTGTGTGCATCAAGAGTAAAGAATTACAAAGATTATTTCTACAGACAGAATTGAAAGACGTAGTCTACAACCTAGAGGAAATATTTCAACACTTTACAATTCTAATCCAATAACTGTCTTAATTAATAATAAATAGATAAATATCTAATTTCCAATTAATATTCAATTATTAATGTATGATAAATACCTAATTACAGTACTCTTTATTGGAATTTTCAAAATGTGTAGAATATAAAATTGAATAAACCACAACATGTATAATATAGCATAAACTTAAAGTTTACACAAGCTGATCTGTATACAGCAGTACTGTTACAGTACAACACTGAAATAATAAACAACTTTATAAACAGGTGGCTTCTCAAAACAAGATAGGATGCTATACAACAAAACAAGTTAAATGTTCAGTTATAACAACTTACGGATATGCTGCCATTGTTGCTAATTTTATATACACATCTTTGTTAACTTTGTCTATACATGTGAATCGTTGAGGTGGAGAGAGTTTAAATTTGTTACAGAATGCTGCCGGTGTTGTCTCGTAGTCTTGGCGTACCTCAGGGTGCTCCACTTTACATGCTACTATTAAAGTTGGTACCCGGCTGTCCAGAAAATGTTTCTATAAATATCATAACATAAAGTTTTATTATGCGCTTCCAAATAAACATTAAATTTAACACGTTTTTATTAAGCACAATATGCAATCAAGTCTTTCTTTTTTTCCCCAAGAAACAATTAAGCAAGAAATTTAAATGATCATGGAGTTTCAACTTCTGAAAAAAGTCCCATTAACAATGCATAATCTTGCACAGAATTCAATAGTCTGAAGAAAGTTATCATGCAAATTTTCACATTCCCTTTAACAAACCAAGGAATTTTGATACAATTAAGTTTAAAGTTCACATCCTAGCATAACATTTAAATACCGTAGACTATGATATTTTGTGAAAACAGTAAACTTACCATGTACATTCTGGCACAGAACTCAAATGACCTTGGGTTTGTGACATCATACAATAAACATGCTACATCACAATTAGTTTCTGTAGGAGACAACATGTCGGAGACCGCCACATCTACTTCATGTAACTGTAATAGTTCAAACAAAACATACATATACAACGATCCCTGTTGTAAGATCTAGCTTCAAAAATAATATCTATAACTTGTATCCTGGAAAGTGTTTGTAAAATCTAAAATTTGAATCTCAAAAACTACTAAAGAGGATTTTCATCCTTATAATATCACTTCACAGAGAAAAGAAATTAAATCATTACTGTTTTTTTGGGCTTGGTTTCAAGTCACAGCAGGGTTACTTTCATATAGCTTCTTTCAAACATTTTAAAAAGTAGCAAATTATTAGTTAAAACCATTATGCTAGCCAGATAGCTTCTTTCTTTTTTCTTTTATTTAAGAGTAAGTTTTCAAACATTGATGTTAAAGTTTTAATTTCTTACCATTAAATATTTTTCTTGTCCATACACTTGCACTGTATTTATCGTAAAACTTGATAACTGCTCTTTATTTAGTGTAGCAACATATCTGAGATTTCTTCCTAACAAACCTTGCAAGAATGATGTCTGAAAAACATAAAACATTATGTTGATTTCATTTAAAGAAAAAAAAAAGAAGACAAATCTTGACCAGTGTTTTCTCATTTACCTAAAACAATTACAAAGAACATGACTATCATTATACATCTTTTTTCTACTCTAAATTTATAAAAAATTCCCAAAGTTACAACACTCAACACTACCATCTAGTAGATCATGCTGCATTTCATAGCATGAACTATAGAGTTCCCTGCATTAATTAGCTCATCAAAATTTAATCAAGCTCAATGGCCAACAGTAAATGACCTAAACCTTTTAAGTTTCCTCTATACATTGATATAATGGTAAAAACTTAGGACGGTATAATTATGGAATGTTACCTTGCCAACACCTTTAGGACCTAGTACATGACATCTGAACACATTCCTGGCTGTCTGTCTCTTCTCTAGATCTATCTTCTTGTCTCGTGTTACTAAAATATAATCCATAACTCTATGATTAGCCATTCTTATATATAAATTCTGAATGAATAATTTCTCTAGTTCATTTAGCTGGTAAATATAATGAAGAATTGATAATTAGAAAATGACTTAACTTTATAACATTTAATAAACAATATAATATTTAATAAACAACAATAATAACTGGGTTATTTTAAATGAATCTTTAGTGATTCTGATAGCATAAACCAGCTTCAATAGCTGTTATCCAGAACTTGGCTACTTCCTCAGTACAAATAAACTTTTATTGTTATAGTTTCACGGTGCACTACAGGTCACAATAGATTAGTCAATCTGTTGGGCTTTTGTCCAAGCTGTTAGTGTAAAAGTTTGTTTGTACCCCCAGATTAGCTTGGAAAAACCCAAAATATTCTTAATTCCAGAGTGAGTGTATTTGCAAATATCTTTCATAAAGAAGTTACAATTGGACAACATTTCAGCATGTAATGATTTACAACGAATACAAAATATTGTAGGGACTGTATTATAACAAATTATAATGTATATTAGAGACTTTACCTTGTATTGCTGTGAGTGTAGAATCATGATGATAATGGTAACCTAGATAAGCTAGATATTCTAATGATCTCGGGTGATCTAATAATGTTGTCAACCTTTAATATAAACAATTATATACAGCATAATTATCGAACAATTATAATGTAAGTATATAATATTTACAAAAAAAAAGAATATAATTATGAGAAACAGAATAAACTTTAATGTAATATGTCCACTTTGTTTTCCATCATAAAATGGACTTGCCGTTTTAATTTGGAATTTAACTACATGAATTTCAACGAAGACTACAGTAAGTGTTGTTTGCAATGTGTTAATTACTATCTATAGGTTCACTTCACAATATTTCGCTTATAAATACATTTTCAAAATTTGCATGAAAACTAGCATGACTATGAAGGCATGCTGCTTTAAAGGCTTTATAATACAGACAAGTTACAGTGTAAAATTCATTTCATACACTAATTCATTTTCAAAACAGACATTTGATACAATTTTATAATTTTTTAATTTAAATCAATTTTTCTTTTACATAAAATAAAAACATAAAGCATAACATACTATTTCAGAAAAAGAAGCATTTGTCAATTATACCATATATACATGAAATAGAAAATAACTGATTATATATACTTACGTCCACTGAGCAAGGTAACCCTGTAATGTTACCCAGCCACTCATGTTAGTAACTACAGTATTGTTTACATCAGGTCCCCATGGTAACATAGGACATGTACAAAACAAGTTAGTTAACTCTGTAGGTGACAACACTCCATCTCTGTCCTATATACAGTAATAACATATAATAATTAATCAAAAACTGGTAATCACAAGATAGTATGTCCAATACATGAAATAGTTACATATAATTATCAAACAAAGAGTGGCAATCACAAGGTAATATGAACAAAGATACTGAAGGTGATTAAGCATTCAATATTTGTAAATGCTGACTAGTAAGGAACTTTTATTCTTTTACAAATAAAAATATAAAACCTGCTTAATAAACTTTAAAAATGCTGCTTAAACAAGAGCTGTCAGAAACACAGCATGCTGGACTATTTTCAGTGCTTGACAGTAAGAAAATGGGCATAGCTCTGTGAATAGGTAACCCAAGAGTTATAGGACTCATGACTGTCATGTTAGATTTACCCAATGAACAAATGTGTGAAGTTTCAACCCATCCCTTTCAGTATTTTTGGAGATACCTACTTGCACTAAGGAATGACAGTGACATCAGGGCAAGGACAATAGCCTTCCCTATTCTTCAAATATTTGAGCAAGTGAAAATGTTAATCTCAATGTTTTTACACAAAAATATATATAATAGCTATAAGTAAATTAGTAAAGGTTACCTCATCATATCTATTAAAGAGCATGGTAAGAAATTTGACACCTTCATCACTTAACTCTGTAGTACTTCCCACTCCAATATTTAACCTATAATCATACAAAATATTCTCTTGTTAACAATTCCGTTGTTATAAAATAACATTTAAATTTTTATTTCATCATAGGATTAAGAACCCTGTATCATGTATGTATACTCAAGACAAAGTTGGCATTACTGGGTCAGAATGGAAAGTAAATTGATTAAACAGATAAATAAAATGATTTAACATCACAAACATTAAAACATAAACATCTCTATAACAAAATCAATTGATGTTTGACTTATATGAAATAAAACTAACTTTCACAAAGATGAATTAAAACAAAATAAGAAACATGTGCATTAGATATGATGCCCCCACATTCTACTTTTTCAGTCTATCACTCAAAAGCAAGAGTAGACTGACGGACAGATGAGAAAATCTATATTATGCTTCTCCCCCACTTTAGTAGGACCATGAAAGCCATTGTCTTGAAATGTCTAACTTAAGACCACTTTGTTTGAGGGGTTACAGTCAATACCATTTGACACTATGTTTCAAATTAAGCCATGATGAGTTGGATATTTTTTCATTATCTAACCCATAATTAGCATCTCTGTAAATTATCAATACATTTTCATAAAGAAGAAAATGCACAAAAGAGTAGCTGGGCTCAATATCAAACAGATGGAAAGTCTATTTTGACTTTTAATAATTTACTGACTTAATGTCTAATCATTAATCAATTTTAAACTTACTTAGGAGCTAAAATATCATTCCGTAACAAGAGATTGTCATCATAACCAAACTTTCTCAACACTGTCCATGGGGTCTCTATTCTTCCTTTATGTACAAACACCACAAACAAATGTAAAAATCCTGAAATTATTTAACAACATCTTTAACCTTTATCAATCATAACATACACTGTTGAGATCATCTACATACATGTACATGTATATGAAAAATTACACACAGACTTTTTGATTTTCAGTATGTTACAAGACATACTGCAAAATCATTATTATTTATGGGGCACTTAATTTTGTGGTTTTCATGAATAGGTCAATCCATGAATTTAAGAACCAACGAAATTTTATTTTCTTTCTGGTGTAAGATTATTTTGCATCACATTATTTACATTTTGTCTTTTGAAAAAATTAACAGTATACAAATTTAAGTACCCACGAAAATGTTTTGTATGGCAAAACCACGAAATTTAATGCTCATGAAATTAAGTGAATTCACAATATAATATATCTCATCCTATTTGAATAATATTCATTTGAATTGTAGGTTATTTACACTTATACTTTTTTAAGCACTTGACTTAAGCCACAGACAACTTAAAACTGTTGAGACAGGACAAGTAAAGCAGTTTTAATAAAATGTCATAATTTGGTATGACAAGAGCGTACCTTTAACAGTAAAACCCGACCATGACCCCATATCAGTCACACCATCTGGTATACTTCTTCTGACTAGTTCCTTCACCTCATCTAACATATGTGTTTGTAACGGAGTGTCAAAACACTTTCTCTGTAATAAACCATACATATCAATTATATTCGGTCAAAAACAGTTATGCTTGTTTTTTAGGTTGGGGTTTATGTCGCACCAGGGTGTATGGCAACTTTCCAGCTTTACTGGTGGAGGAAGACCTCAGGTGTCCTTCCATGCATTATTTCAGGCACAAATGAGCACCTGACTAGAACCACTGACATTCCGTATTCTAGCTGGAATGCTTCCCCACATGAAAGAATCTAAAGTCAGCATTCAAGACTACAGCGGTGAGGGGCAAGTTATGCTTGTCTTTAGAAAATTGCATTTATACTGCATTGTCTGAAGTACCGGGTTTTTTTTGTTCCTTTAATTAACCATAACTTACTATACCCAAGAGTCTCTGATATTAAATTTCTTAAATTTAATAATATTCAAATATGTTCTAAAGTTACTAAATCAATGTTTTTAATTAAAAGTCATTATAAATGTCTTTGCAAGAAAAATAAGCGAAACAAATTCTGACATTTTATGTAAAGTTAGAGTGAAGTATAAGTGTACCTGGAAGAGGTTGACTTCATCGTCCCTGAGTATTTGATCACCATCCAGATCGCAAATCTATAAATAAACATGAATTCTATAAATAAATAACCATCCAGATCACATATCTATAAATAATTCTAAAAATATATTATCATCCAGATCACAGATATATAAATAAACATGAATTCTATAAATATATCAAGGTAGTCTTACTGCAATGCTTTCCTGCCAAAAATTTCTCACATCGGCCAATATTGTAATAAATCGGTCATTTCCGTTATTTTTCACAATCTTCGGTATTCAATAATTTTTAACCATTCATAACCAGAATTTAGTACATAGCAATAAAGGAAGAGTGATTATAAATAATATAATGCCCAAGATTTTGAAAAAATAATGTGCTGAAAATACTGATTTGCTACGATATTGGCCGATGTTTATTTTGGCAGGAAAGCATTACAGTAAGACTACCTTAAGTTGCTATATTGTGTTTCTACAGACAACAGATGATCTTTGACAAAAACTTTCATATTTATTATTTAAAAAAAGTTCAAAAGTAATACATAATTTTAGAGACTAAAACTTAAGAGAAATGTCAGAGATATGTTACGGTAACAATATAGAGGGCCACAAACTGAAAGACCACAATAAACTTACCCTGAACACTCTCTGTAATGCCATCTTACATTTCTGTGTTAACTGTAAAATACAATCATCATTCAAAAATTAACAATCTAAAATAAATCTACATACGATATAAAAGATGTTAAATCATTTTCACATCATCACATCACTGGTTTTATGTATATCAATATGTTGAATATATTGTAAATATTTAAATCTTTTGTGAAATTAGCAGCTGCTACAAGAAGCTCATATATATCTGTACAAATGTATTAAGCTGTTTCATGAATATCTTACCTGAGATTTCTTACATCATGCAAAACTTGGTGTTGTTTTTTTTTTCAAAAAAAGTTGCACCAAATTCTTAAATAAAAAGCTAATTTGAGACAATGCATTTGCATAGGTACTTTCCATGACCACAGGAGCCTTGCCATGCATTCTTTCTTTTCATGGATAACTGGGAACCAAACAAGATCTATGGACCTGATAGCTGGATTGTCTTCCTTACATGAAGGAAGACAAGTCTCCTTCAACAAAGAGCAATAAAAAAACTAGTAAATACTGGTACACAATCCAGGAACATTTGATATATTACTGCCTTCCAGTATAAGTCTGAAACACTGACAACCAACAAAATGTAGAAACCTATCTAAATATAGTTTTACATGATACATACATCTTTTTCAGCTGGGTTGAACAATGGGGTCATAGGATATAACACAGCTTTCTGTGCATAATAGAACAGTTCACTGATGTTCCGCAAACTTTTAGCTGAACACTGAAAAAACATAAATAAAGAATCTTTTAATTAAATATGCAGTATTTTGCGAAGAAAAATATGTTATACAAAATAACAAATAATCAGAAGAAACATAAATTTGCACAAAATGATAGTATCCATGAAGGACTACTTCAGATTGTCAAGCAAACTGTTGTAAAAGCTAATTTTTAATAATTTGTGTGTCTTCATCAGAAAATATCTTACAAGTATATTCATCTTAAAGTTAATTTTAAACAGCCATACTTTGCATACTGTAACATTTATAACAAAAACTTCTAAACATATACAACAAATGACAGATAGTCTGATAACAGATATATACCTCTATTGTGGTTTCAACTTCCGCAAAATCTTGCATAATAGGCTCCATAGCCTGAAAAATGATATAAACATATAAATTTGTATTTCTTAAAACACTTTGTTTACATTGAAACATTTTTGAAATTATACTTTAATAGTTAAACTATGATAATTATTATGTGTCAAAATTTTTTTAATTATTTTTCTATAATTAAAATTGAACATAATTGACGTCCTAATACAACACAAAATGTTCTCAAGTAAACAGTTGAACAAGCATTTTGAGTTCAAGGCCACAATGACCTTGACCTTTGACCAACTGACCTAAATATCAATATGGGTCATCAAATAATCATGAACAATCTCAGGACTGACAGCCAAAACATTATCTAGTTATTGGTCTGTTCAAGGTAACAATGACCTAGACATTTGATCAACTGACCCAAATATCAATATGGGTCATCTAATAGTCATGAATAACCAAACCAAAATCTCAGAACTGAAGGCCAAAGCATTCTCTAGTTATATGTCTTTTCAATGCAACAATGACCTTGACTTTTGACCTTATGTCACAAAAATCATTATGGGTCATCTCCTTGTCATTATCAACCACCACAACATATCCACTGACTGTAAATTCTTAATTATTGGTTAGATCAAGACCACAGTGACCTAAGTTCTCAACTTCTGAGTGACTGTCCCCAAAATCAGTAGGGTCATCTATTAGTCATGACCAGCCCTCATTCAAAATTTTGTGACTTAGGTCAAATATTCCCTTATTAATAGCCTGATAAGATGAGGTCTATGTGCTGATGAAAGCTGTGCAAAGCAACAAAACTCCATTTATTAGAAGAGGGCATAAAATGCATAGAATGACACATTTAATGTTGTTGCAAGTATAAACAATTCATACAAAATATTCTAAACATATAAATAATTAATTGTGTACTAGTTACCTCCCCTGTTGAGTAGTCTATGAGATCTCCCTTGTTCCCGACTAGAATGACTGGTACCCCAGCATCTTCTCCTAGCTGCTTTCTGATGAAAGGTAGCCATGTTGATGTGATCTGTAATATTGTTATGAACAACAATAATAAATACAATGCTTTGTCTTAAGGAAAATGTACATGACATACAAGGAAACAAATATGATAAATAAGCATTTCGATCATTAAAATAAATGCCTTAAAATGATATACAGTGTAACTTCCGAATTCCGGAACTTCTGAAATCCGGAAACTTCTAAAAACCGAACAATTTTTTTTGGTCCCAATTTTTCCCTTCTATTTTCTATTAATATAATACTTCGGAATTCCGGAACTTCTAAATTCTGAATTCCGGACGATATTTTCGAAAAATTAGAGTCAAATCAATGCAATTTTACCTCCAAAAACCGGAAATATCCAAAGGTGTGAAATACATTGTAAACCTTGCAGGAAGATTTAATCTCCCTATCGATTGTTTACTAATTAGCGGTGATCGTGTAATTTGACACGCGTTAAAATCACAAACTGAAATGGTATGTTTGAAGTGATGCGGTTAGTCAAAGTAATTTACGGCGGTCAGTTAATTTGAAGTGTTTATTAGCGGATTAAATGACAATTGTATGCATCAAACGTCTTTAGGGATTTTATTGCATTTGATGTAATAATTAATTAACTAGCATCGGACGATATGTAAGTTTATGCAATTAACAACATTTTTACAAACTGATATGATATTACAGTAATGGCCACATCGTCCTTGACATTTAGTCTTGTCCACATTATCATAAACCTCTGAATTCCGGAAACCTCTGAAATCCGAACTTTTTGACAAGTCCCATGGGTGTTCGGTTTTCGGAAGTTACACTGTATGATTCTACATCACCAAGGTACAACAAAACAGTCAAATTTTGAAACAAAAATTTCAGCAAAAAAATAATCCCTGATTGCAAAATGAACCCCAAAACTAATTATTATAATTTCTTTGTTCCCCAAATTAATAATTATTTAGTTAATGTTATTCTTCATCCATAAAGGCTTAGAAAATATTTTTAATCACTTACTCCTTCCATAGAATCTTCATCATTTACAGCATATACAATACATATCACATGAGCCTATAATATAAAATTATTATGTTTTATATTATAATAAATATCACAAAAAAAATACATTTCTAAGTATATTTTTACACATGTCAATCATACTGGAAGCAGTTACCCAACTTGTGTTTCTGGAAACTGTAGTGCACCTGTACTTACTTTATATAAATACCTACAATAACTGCCAGCTGTTTAGTTTAAAACAAGACTGTATAAAATGAAAATTAACAATGCTGCATACATCTTAACAGTTTTTTTTCTTCATTTTATTAAAGACATATAACTTTTCTCTAAAGACAATAATTGTAAACCAATTAAAACAAGTTTATAAGAAAGGAAATGGTAGTTAATGGTAGTAATTATTAACCTTTTTAACTTCCTCAATAAGATCATCTTCTGACTGCTCACGACCTGAAAGTTAAAAACATTCATCATTGAACACTTGAGCACAGTGCCAATTACCAGAACGTTCATGTTACTATATATAGTAACATACGTCATTTACATATCTGATCATTTTGTGTACTTTAGCTATTAATTTTCAATGTAAATTTGTCCTGAAGAAGGTCTATAATGAGACCGAAACCGGTTGACCATCATTAAAAGCAGTTAAACCTATCCTGGTGTTGGTCGTTTTGCACCTCCTATATCCCGCTTTTTCTGTGTTATATTAAAATAGTTTAAACTTATCTACAATGTAGCAAGTTCTTCCTGTCCATGCACAGAAATACATATATATATAAACAAGATATGTTTGTAAAACATGTATGCCCCCTATCGGCAGCCAATTAGTTATGTGATCAGGTTATTATGCATGACTTCTGACCCAGTGAACAAACAATTTATAAGGATTATCAGTTATCTAGTATCTACTGGTCATGACTAGTCACAAGGTAATAATAATTGTGACCCCATAGGTTGTGTGAAGCAATTTAAGTTATTACAAATCTTACCAAATAATATATGCATAAATTTAATGAATCATGTAGGCCTTATTAATGACAGCCAAGTTGTTATATTACATAAGACCTTCAAATGTGTATACCAAAAGCATTTTTAGTTTAATATAAAAATATCAACCAAGGCAACTTGAGTTGTTGAGTTATTGGTCAGAAACCGTCATTAAGTACAAGGTCAATATGACATTGACCCCTTGACCCCAAAATCAATAGGGGTCATCTACTGGTCATGACCAATCATCATACCAAGTTTGAAGTTCCTAGGCCTAAGCATTCTTTAGTTATTGATCGGAAACCATTTTTACCTACAAGGTCAATGTGACCTTGACCTTGGACCCTTGACCCTAAAATCAATAGGGGTCATCTACTGATCATGACCAATCACCATATCAAGTTTGAAGTCCCTAGGCCAAAGGGTTCTTTAGTTATTGATCGGAAACCGTTTTTACCTACAAGGTCAGTGTGACCTTGACCTTTGACCCCAAAATCAATAGGGGTCATCTGCTGGTCATGACCAATCACCATATCAAGTTTGAAGTTCCTAGGCCTAAGCATTCTTTAGTTACTGATCGGAAACCGTTTTTACCTAAGAGGTCAATGTGACCTTGACCTTTGACCCCTTGACCCCAAAATCAATAGGGGTCATCTACTGATCATGACCAATCACCATACCAAGTTTAAAGTTCCTAGGCCTAAGGGTTCTTTAGTTATTGATCGGAAACTGTTTTTGCTTACAAGGTCAATGTGACCTTGACCTTTGACCCATTGACCCCAAAATCAACAGGGGTCATCTACTGGTCATGACCAATCACCATACAAAGTTTGAAGTTCCTAGGCCTAAGGGTTCTTTAGTTATCACTCGGAAACCATTTGGTATACGGACCGACGGACAGACGGACCGACAAGTGCAAAGCAATATACCCCCTCTTCTTCGAAGTGGGGGCATAATAACCACCAATAACACTGACTATCATATGTACTTACAAACATTAATTTGAAATGCCATAATTATAAAACAAACTTTTCAAATCCTGTCTGTTAAAGTCAGTAAGTTTATACATATACAATGTATTATGATAAGAATACAAAGGGTATTTTTCACTAAAATGGATAACTAACAAAATTCCTGTCTAAATCTTGGAGTGGACTTATTCAACAATGATAGTATTACACTTAAAAGTACAAATGATATCAGAACTTACTTGAGAAGTCAACAATATGTGTGGGAACCCTCTCTGGTGTTACATCAGCTGGTATAGTGATTTCCTCAGCCTTCGCAGGAACCTGTTAAACAAAAAAATTATTGCAACATAATCATTCATGAGTCCTATGAGAACATAATCATTTTTTCATATATAATCAGTATCTTTCACTGCATAAAATCTGTATCTTTCACCACATAAAATCTATATCATTAATTTCATAAAATTAATATGTATGACTTAAAATAAAATAATAAAAACTGTCATTCTCTTTATAAAATTTATAATGTTCGCTACAAAAAAACATAGATGTATATTTTTCACTAAGTACTACATCAGTACATAAAATCTTTATCATTTACTACAATAAAATCTATAGTCTAATTTCTAAATTGTCTTCAACAAATTACACTGTTTACTTTAAAATGGGAGACTTTAAAATGAAATAAGACAAATGAAATGATAAATATATGATGAAATGATGAATATGTTCTGTATTTACAGTAAACAGTAAAACTAATGCATGACTTTTGTTATATTGTTGACCCTTACCTCTTCATTAAATTCTTCACTGACCAATGACAAAATTAAAGATGTTTTCCCTACACCAGCTGCAAAATAGAATAATGTCACATTAAAAACAACAAAATCATTTACAGTAATACAAGTTAAAATACATTCAAATATCATCAGCTATAATTTTTTTCTAAAAGTTATAACATATAACAGCTCTTATGGGGACCAGTAATTTAATATATTGGAACTGAAATACATATGTATTATAATGTATAACACAAAACCAAACAGGAAAATTAACTTCACTGTTTAAACTGAGATTATGCTATATATTCATAATAAACAGTTATGTTAATGTCTTTTTTTTCTTCCTTATATAGCTACTGGCGGTTGCATAAATTTCCTAGTTATCCATCTGCATTTATGTTGTTCTTGATTTTCTTTGAAAAAGTATTTTCATTCGAAGGGATTATTGTGAAATTACTATAACTTATACAAGAAATATGAATACAAAAGCTATCAATACTCCAGACTTTTCTCATTTTATGTTCAGGAGTTTCTATTGGTTTCTCTAAAATTCCCAATCTGGACTTATTGAAACTTTTTCCCAATTCCAACAATGTTCAACTGATTTTATAAGTTTCATAAATTATATAATCATAATGAAAAATCTTCTAATTAAAGGAAGAACTACTTATTTGGTTATTTGCATTAAAACGTTTAACTTGTCAAACATTTAACTTGTGTCTTGAGCAGAAACTTTGATATTTTGGCCACTTAAATCTTTTGTGGTGTGTTAACAATTGTGAGAAAAGCGTCTGCATGCACAAATCGCTTGTTTACCCATATCGTACATGTTGGTCATAGCTTATGTTTGGTGAAATGTTAAATACATACCAACAATAAATAAATTTTGATTTGTCTAAATCCCAGATACTGTGACTGATTGTAGAATGGTTACAAGTCGGACAGAATATGTGCAGATAACAACACAGAATGGGTTTGCAATTTACACATACACACAGTTACCAGAAATAAATAAATTTCAGATACCCAAACAATAATAATAATTACTGATTTAACGGGATGTCGCTTAAATAGGAGAAATAACTTAATGAGGACATCCATATAAGGTAGATTATGACTGTGTCACAGAAAACGCACTGCAAACATCAATGCGTCATTTGTGGTATGACTGCATCAAAAACACAAGAAACGCAAAGTAGCAGAAACACTGTATTAGAGTTTAGACACAGAAGAGACAGGGAAATTCAAGAGACAGCCCGACATGTTAATTTTTCTGCACACTTTACTTACAATCTCCTACAAGCAAGATCCGTACATCTGTCTTTGATGTCATTGTGTTAAAGTTGGTCTTTTCAACATCACAAACTTCTCAAGTACATTCTTTAAGCAAAATTGTTATAACAGATTTATTCTCTTCACAGTTTCAGCATGATAGAATATGACCTCATGACTTTGTAAAAATGGTACTGCTTTTAAAGAAAAACGCTGCCTAAATTCAATTGATTTTCGCGTTCTTTCCGATAAATATACTAAGGAGAAACAAACTGCATAACTCTATTTGATGAACTACCAATCACACTTGTAATTTTTCACAATTTTGTAATATTATTGAAAATATATCAGGAAAAATCGACTTCCGCCGGAAGTTAACTTGCACCTGCGTGTTACACCCGGCATTTATTTCCGGCAAAATCAAGCGTCTGCAAAAAGGTAAACAAAAACATATCAAGTGAATTTATCGATTATTTTCATGCACTTACCTTAAATTAACAAATGAGAACTAACACATATTTTCTAAATTACCAAATAGTAAAAGAGATGTTCAACGGCAGTTTTTGTCGAATGTTTCAAACAACAGATTCGTACTCAAAATTTACGTACTATATTCAACATCATTAATATCGCGTTATCACTTATATCAGGGTAATGACATTTTTCTATGCGCCCAGTGCTAATATTGGTAAAAATTCGCAGATCTCATTCTTTCACTTAAACAACAAAGTTTTTATGCAAAATATGAAATTAGGCAAAGCCTATGAACGGTTATGAAGTCGTTATAAATTAATTTCATTTTTCCGCTATAAAGGTGTCATTCGGTATTTCATGTACGCTTCCGCTTTTACTCGGAAGTCTGGACGATTATTAATTATCCGAAAAGTTGAGATTTGTTCCGTAATCGGAATACACCACCTTTTGTCACGAGTTATATTGTAAATGGCGGCGCCTACATGTAACTAGAACTGACACTGAAAATTTCATTGATAGGTATAAAATTTTATATATTTTTTAATTGTTTTTTATTTGATTTTCTTTTAAATATGCATGTGTAGTCTATAGCCGGGCAAGCCAAAGCCCGAGCCCTCTTCGTGGGCCCGGACTTTGACTTCCCCGTAATATATTGAATCTGCAGATTTTTACTCACTTCTGCAAGAAGTCATGATATTCTGTTAAAATTCCTTCATACATCTGAAACAGTGATCATTTTCAAAAATAATGTTATTTTGTGTTGAAAAAAAAGTATCAAGTTACAAAGGTAAAGATTGTTTAAATATTTGAAATAGAGCAATAATACATTTTATTCTAAACCCAAAACATGATTACAATAGAATAACACCATTTATCGCGTTTTAAATGATGACATAGCGTTTTCAAAATTGCCAATATATGACTTTCCAATTAAATCTGTTTTTTTATTGAGTGTGTCTCATACAGCAAAAAAAAAAAAAAACATTTCAGGTGATGACAAATTTTTGCTTACATAAGAGTAATGTATACTTTACCTATTGTTATACTTGTAGCAAACCCTTATCGTATAACTGGAGGAGGACAGGCTTTCCCCTGACCATTTCTGTCGACGACACTCACGGAATATTTACAGTTAGACAAGGACTGTTCTTTTCTTGAGTCATTGCACCGAACTTTTAAGTGGCTATTTTTTGTTGACTTTAGTTAACAATATGAAACTAATAGGTGCCAAAAATTCTGTTAAAGTTGTGTCCGACAAAAAAATGGAAAGACAAAACTATGAAAATTACGGTCATAAAATTGACATATTTAATTCTCAGCTTGGCTTATAACATATTTGAGGACTTAATAAATAGGATTATCCAGAATTATGTTTAATTTTTGAGAATGATTTTTTATTCCACTTGTGTATTCCTTATGTTTATCTTACACAAATAATATGACAGTATAAATGCCTAATTTCTGATTATTTTAAATGAATTTTTAAATTCACTTTAAACCTTTTTTTAAAAATTACAAAAAATAAATTTTTAATAGATTATATTATTTGAATTTTTCTTTTACAAATTAAGTTATTGCAAATTTTATTTTATTTTTTTCTATCACATAATGCTTTGTTCATCACTACATGTTGACAATGTCCTAATCGATTATTCATATTTAAACTTAAAAAGTTTATTTGGAACGGTGTTAAATAGAATTAACGCTCCTATGCCAAATGTCTAGATCCAAGACCCCTCAGAATTTGGTGTGTTACTGGCGGATTCAATTTTTAAAAAAGTAGATCAATAGTTATTCATAATTCAATTTGGTTGCTTACATCAAGTTGTTGGTACTTTAACCTAGGCTTATGGTTGTTAAATACTTGTAAGCTTATTATATATACTAAAATCATAAACTAATGGGCATTTCAATTAAAAGTTATTGAACAAACTCACCCTTGTTTATAATTTATACCTTTACATCTTAAAAGGCATAATTTAACCAAGGTAACACTAACAATATGACATCTGTTTTCTGATATTGCAATTTTATATTGAGCTACAGGTATGAAGTTTTAATAAAAAACATAAGATTCTTTTTGGTTAGAAGTGTTCTCAACCTGTATATAGCTTGACTTGAAATGGCATTTGCAAATGGTTGTTTAAATTCCTTCATTTACAATGCTACTTTTAACACATAAAATTCCTCTCATATACAATCATTGGGTAATAATGTTAAACTATAACCTCTAAACTCTTCAACTCAAGGTTCTGTAGGTCTTACCCTTAATTTTCAAGCATTTTAAATAGTGTCTAACATGTCGCAATATATTGCAATATGTCCGTAAATATGGCAGTATATTGCAATATGATTTTTTTTAGTCACATGAACAACCTGCAGACATCGGATAAGCATACCAGCTTTCAAATTTTAAGGGCAATTAATATCACAGTATATCACACTGAAAATTTAGTTTGTAAATTTAAAAAGAAAAAAAAATCCCTTGTTTTTCCTCAAAATAATTTATGTGCATTATGAATGAAGTGTCTAAGAAAATAACATTGTATCTACAGGTTTGTATTGCAAAATTCATCAGTCAAGTCTCATAACCTGTATTTCTACATGTATTATTCTATATAGTATATAACATTTAGTCAGAAGTTTTAAATTTTTAATGAAAGAACACTGAATTTACCATATGTAGTTATACATGTACAAAGCAATGTGCTGTTATTATTATAAGGTGTCATTGATTTTGTACCAGTGTTACAGTTAGAGCCAGTCTTAACAGATAAATCAGCAGAAATTGATGAATTGTTACAGAAAATCTTTTACCAGTACCATTCTCATGAATTGTACCTCCTAAACATAATGCCTGAATATTGTCCATATTTGCAGTTCAGTTTAACATTGAAAGATTCAAATACAAGTTTATTGAACTACATGTATTGTTGTAAAGAAAGATAGTTGACACTTTTTAGTCAATAAAATGAAATTGAATATCGGCCAAAACTATAAAATCACAAATATTGTTGAATAAAGTGTCATATTTATGTAAATATATTTAATCTACAATAAATCTACATGACATTAGTTCATATATTTGTTCAATATTCAATATCAAGTTACATTTAGTGAATTTAGACAGTTTGTATGAAATCATTGTTTTAAAGTTATGTAAATATTAAATTTTAGTATTGGTAAACAAGTCTTATTTTGACTGTGTCCTTCGCAAACAAAAGTTAATATCCTTTAAACTTGTAAAAATATTGATTCAGGTAAACACTAAGTTGATTGTATTCGATTAAAATAAAAGATAAAGTTTTTAACAAGGTTCAAATGAGTCATGTATAGAAGTAAAAGACTAGTTTAAGCTTGATATTATAAATAGTATAACATTTATCGGGTGTAAACTAACGGGAAATCAAGTGTAAACTACGTGTTTATTCCACCTGTTTGTGTTTATACATAAAAAAAAGATAGATTTGATATTACATTTTAGTACGGAAGCCATATAATTGGAAGTAATTAAAAATTTATGCTTGGTAAGATTGTTATTTTATAAATTTACAATTAAATGAATAGAAAATAATATTAATAAGTTTGAATTAAAGTTTCAGTACAATTTAAAATTGTTATAGTTTTAAATGAAAAATTTATTGGCAACAGACTCTGATTTCATATTAATATTCTGTAATATCAAGTCAGACTGGACCCAAATACTCAAAATTTAAACATGATTGAATGTTTCAGTGTTTTAATAAAGTCATGTTTTTTTTTCTTGTTCAAGCGGTACTTATAATATTCTCCATTTTTGGAAATGTCCCAAAACATAAAACTTTTAATACAGTACCTGGCATACATGTATATTGTTGTCACTGAAAAGGGATTATGTTATATTCTTTGACATTTTAATATTTGTAAATATTGATTTAAACTAAAATTATGTTTTGTTGTTGGATTTTTTTTTGCATTTCATTTGATTGCCTTGAATGACTTAAAAAGAGTATATGAATATTTTTAGTTCCAGAATTCTGTTTGTCACTTTTGCATTTTTTTGCAATTATAAGGGTAAAGCCCACAATTCTTTCCTCTATCTGGGAACAATAAAGCCAGGGAAGATTGCTTACATTTGGGTAAAATAATCTTATCAAAATTTTTTTGAGAAGAATTGTTCTCACTTGAATATTTACTATATTGCTAACATTTTTATTACCACTGATATTGGCAACATTTTAAATGACACTGTATGTTGAGTGTAACAACCTATAAGTGCTGTAAGACATTAGTTTTCAAGTCACTAGAAGATTAATGTACATATAGTATATACTCTAGTGTAGATTATAGATCAACATAATTTATGGCTGAGAAAGATCATTGAATTTGTGCCATTAAATTTGTACTGTAAATAAATAGGGCATAGCAATGTAAATGGTAACCTTTCTGCTATGAAATTGAATGTTATACATAATATTTTAACATAAAGGAACTTTAGTAACAGACCATAGAAACAGCAAAAATAAGCATATATCAGATTGTATTGCACAGCATGTACTTGATTTAACTTGAAAATGAAATTATGGCTTTACTTTTCTGAAGTCAGTGCAAAGAAAAAATATTCAGCTGTGTATTAAATTTCAAATTCATAATTATGAAACATACTGTCACTCAGTATAGTTACATGTATATATTTGTATTAATTTGTATTAATTACAATTACAAATTTAACCGAACATGTTAGGGTAACCTTGTCTTTTATTTAGTGTCACGGTAATTACATATTATGGTAATTATATCAATGTTAATTAGCTTTGTATATTTAACAAGCTTTTGATTTGTTTATATGATACTCCAATCTATCAGAAATGTTATATATACTTAGCTTTATATTTAAAGTGTCAGATATGGAGATCAGTTAAAGTTGTTTACAGTTTATATAAATATTGATTGATTTTCTTCTATACCACTTAATGATATTTTGTTACAATACCTCTGTACTTATGTTAATATGACATACTTGTTCATAAACTAAAACGTTTACAGTTTCACTGTCAATAGGTAATTGATTTTATTCATTATATCTTGTAATAGTGAATAACTTTAGTACCCAGGTGACTTACAATCATTTTGATCTTGTAAGAAGTCATAAACTGTTCATTATATACATGTACATGTATATGCTATTTGAATGTCACTTTAAACTAAAAGGAAAGCAGTCTTACATTTTATTTATGTTATTTACCTGAGCTAGGCTGTCTTTTTTATGCTGTAATTGGATAATGATATAAAATTCTTTCAGACAATTTGACAAAGAACATTGGTACAGGTAATTTTATAGACTTTGATAAAATCTTGTTGATCAGATTGAAGGTTTGTTATTGTAAGGTACAAATTTGCATATAAATAAGTTATTTACAGTTGAAGTTTAATGGTATTTACAAACTGAATGATTAATGCAGGTTAAAGAACAAGTTGTTTATTGCCAGTGATTAATCTTGAATATTGTTAATGTCTAAGTCTTGAACTTAATCTGAAATGTAAAATTTGTAAATGAGTTTAATTTAATGGTTTTCATCCATAGAAATTTGATAAATATATTTACAAGCATTATGGGCAACACAAATACATGTATATTAAGAAATTGAAAAGAGCTGTTCTTATTGAAGAACTAGATTCTACACAATGTCGTCCATTTTCTATGTAGGGGCACCAAACTTTGTTAAGGTATTAAGCAAAATTATTTTTATAAAGAATTGCAAGCAATGTGATTATTTAAGCAAGCTGTTCTGTAGACACCTTGTCTCAACCTCCAATATTTTTGTTCTCACCTTGTTGAGATTTATACCAGTTTGATTTCCTGAAAAGATGGTAATAATTTTGTATTTCTAGCACCAGTGCAAATCTGGACTTGATAGTGATCTATATATGAATTTATTTTTGTTCATCTTTTTCTCTTATTTTATATCTTAATCATTGACCAACTCTCCATGGGGTAAAATTGTTAACATCACTCTTGGGGGAAATATCTATTCACTTACACCACATTACTTTCAGAAAACATTTTTCACCTGCATTCTCTTGTAATTGATTTCTATTGATTAGAGTAAAACACTAGTTCTGTCCTTTAGATAGAATTAATGGACTATAATTCACTAATTATTGTTTTTCTAAATGACAGGTGTGGATAGACATGAGATCAATGGAGATATGATAGAATAGAGCACACGTTATTTTTCTCACGAGGCACATTTCAGTATTAAAGGATAATAAAGATGGCAAGACGAAGGCTCGAACATGCCTTGATGGCAGGGCAGACTATTGCTGAAGGTAAGCATGTTTTTATTTATTCTGTACATTATATAAACATATAAACATTTGCTAGCAGAAACTCACATGACTCCCATGAAAAGTGTTTTTTGGGGGGATTATGCAAATCTAAATTTTCTTATTCAAGAAAGTGACAAGTTTGTTATGACATATCTCAAGATAAATTTACCTATGCACAACACATTGGTTTGAAATCTCATACAAATGACCAGATTGGGTAATGTTTTGTTTCCAGTAGGGGAATATACTGATGATTCTTGCAGTGTTTCCTCCTCGAATTTACAACCATTAAACAGATTCTTTCCAAGTGCCAAAACATTTTCCCCCCGCAAATTGTGACGCATATAAAATTCCCAGCTATCGGTCTGCATTTATGCTACTGCTGATTTTCTATGAAAAAGTATTTTTGTTCAAAAGGGGAATTTCTTTAAATTCATCACATGTGTATAAAAGACAATAGAAGCTAATATTCTTAATAGTATCAGTTACATTCAATTACCCTAAAATTCCTAATTTGGATTTTTTAAACATATTTTCCCAATTTTAGTAATGCTTGATATATTCCAAAATTTAAAAAAAGGTGTGTCCTGGTATTGTAGTCTGCAGCATTACCACTAAGCTATAAGGCCATTGTAAAGGATTCTCTTACATTATATTCTATAGCTGCTTTGCTGTAAATAAACAAGGCTAGGTCCATTTACTTTTATGTTTTGTAGATTTTATTTTAAATTGTAAACAGTTGAAGACTGTGTTAGTTGGAAGGAATAGATGTCTGTAAACAAGCTGTCAGAATAGCTGTGATTTTATTCACCTTTTTTTGTAGAACATTATGTTATCATTGTGCAAATTAAGCCTTTTATCATTACAGGCATATTTTCTATACAATTCTGTATTCTTTACTTCCTGATGTCTAGCTGCATACAGACATGTGTATGGCGGAAGTTGGTATAGGGAGAAAAAAGCCTGATATTCTGTGCTTAGTGGCCAGATTTTATTCTTTAATAATAAGCCTTTGATAAAAAATCCCTTTATTATGGACATAAAAATACAAGTCTATGTTTCAAGTCATAGTGTATAAAGCTATATCTAAAAAAAAGGTAAACTTATGTTGTTTCTGTAATGTTATGGTCAGTTCTCAAAAGAACTGTATTAAACATAGAATGACCCTAATTTTTTAAACACATGAATATAGTATGTAAACAGAATAAATTGTTCTAGAACAATAATAATTAAGGTTTTATATGGTTGGTAGTGGTTTTGTACACACACCAATTGCTTTTATGGAAATATACCATCATAAATATTTCTTAAAAGAGTAAATATTCTTTTACAAATTCAAACAAATTTTATATACTTCATTCAGCAGACTGATATAACTTATCAGGGGAATTCCTATGGAGAAATGGTCATAACCTTACTGAAACAAGTTTATAATATATTGCACACAAATCTCTGGTTTAATTATTCTAATTTATAAGTGTAAACAAATTAGATTAATTAGACAAGGTGCTTTCATTCTATTCTATAACCCCTCAACACTTGCCTTAAAGTGCAATAAGTTAAATTCTTTCCTGTTGACTTCATTTGACTGTTATATCACATGGAAAGAATAAATTTGATTTTGTGCAAACTTTGCAAGGATAATTCTGTATGCAAACACTTTATATTGATTCTATACAATTTCTTTCATTTCATTTTTATCAGCTGCAAATGTCACTTTATTTGAAACCTGAAAGATTAACATTTTTTTCTGTTAAATTAAAGCAGATTATTCATTCTAGGTGAACATTGCTGTTTGTGATGTTAGGGAAAGGTTTAAGATAATTTGTAATCTGAATATACCAGCTAAAGATCAGTGCAGTGAGTTGAAATAAACATTAAATAATTACAAAATTTTGTTTTGAAGTTTTACACTGTGTCTGAACTCATTATGTTATGTAGATGGCCCAGCAAACAATTAGAGTTAAAATCACAAATATATATTATAAATAAAGAAAACTAAAGTCTAAAAAGATGATTTATGCAAATTTTTATGTTTCTTGACCGTATGTCTTCTTATATACGGTATTGATGTATGTAATATTTTATATGTAATGGATAATTTATATTCTTACAGACCCATCTATACTATTTCATTTAAAATAAGTGAAATTCAAGAAACTTATTGGGCTTTTTAACCTTTCAGTCTATAAGCAGGCCTTTTATTCCCCACAAACAGTCTCAGTTAAGGGATGTAAAGGAGTGAGTTTTTTCATTAGTTGGTCAACATTACCTTCGGCTATTAACACTTAAAATGACATTATTGTAGCACTTCTTTATCTTTAAATTGGCCAAAAATGTACATTTTTTTATTATAAATATTTTCTGTGACAAGTTCATATTATGAGGGTATTTATTTCAATGTTGATATAGGAGGATCATTCAATTTCCATGGGCTGCTGTTTCTCCCTCGCCATCCCCCGTGCCCCCCCTCCCCCTCCCCTCCCATTTTTTTAAAATTTAAATTAGTTAAAACCAAACCCAAAAAGAAATTCAAGTTTACCCACTTTGTACTAAGTCTTAGAGTATGTATCTAAAAATCGTATTTTCAGAATGAATTTCAAACTGTTTATACATTGTAATTATTGATGACAAGGTCAAGGTTGGTCTTTAAAGTATGAGAAAATTCTATGATTTACACATCTCTCTATATCTTCATAGATGTTAAATTGTATTTTAATGGAAATAAGAGGCACACCTTATATTGAACATTGAAGAGATATTCATATCCCAAGGCGTTCTACCTTTGGTAAATCGCACAAAGGTGAGATAATTATTAACAAATCATATATTAATAGGATTCCTATAAAATACTTAGTAATAAAACAATTAGAATAAAACCCTGTCTCTGGAGACCATTCTTTAATGATAGAATGAGTCTTTCTTGTTTTGAGGCTGTCTTTGTGGACAGTAAAATTTGCTACACTTGTTAGAGACATGATTAGTTATCTGATGTCATGGTACATAGAATGGTTCACTAATTGAGGAAAAATGTGTAAGTGGCTGGGAAGTTCAGATGGTACTGCTGCAGAACAGTATTCCGAGGGTCCTGGGTTCAAATCTCAATCAAGTTGAACATTTTTCTCATCCTAAGATATATGTAACAATTATTTGCTACAATTTCAGCTACAATTTATATAGAGGCACTGATAATGAGTACAATTAGGATGTCTCCATACTTGAATTATTGAAGTTGATCACTGTCCTTCCTGTAGGCCTATTGACTTCTGATCAAATGTTTAACACATTCCTTCATTGACACATCATGACTGAAAGTATCTCTCTTATTACCTTGTTTATTATCAGCATAAATAGAATATAATTATGGAAGATTCATTTTGTATTATACTAACATAATTGATTGGCACATATTCAAAAATAATTCTGTTTTTAGTATGAATATGTTTATTAATACACTAGTTACTAGTATCATATTTTGTTACACTTTAAATTTTTTGTTTTGAATAGTTTTTTCTGATGAAGGTCAATGGTTGTTAATTGAAATAATCAAAGTATGGGTAGACACAAATAAACATTTTTTAAAGCAGCTCTGGTGTCAATGTGTATCTCTCTGTTTTGCTGTTACTTTCACTTTATACTGATCAAGAAATATATTGAATGTCATTTTATTCAATGACCTCTAATGCCCCTGAGATAAGATAGGAATTTATTCTGTATTTTGATAAAGATGGGTAAAAATGAAAATATAAGTCTATCTAAGCTGTCAAAATGAACTATAACCCCCTATTACCTTTTGTTGATTATTATTGTTGACAAAATATTTATAATAATATTGATGATGTGAATAAGTGTTTCCTATTCCTAAAACATGAAATTTTACAATAGTTTAAAGTTAGAACATTGACCTAGTTAGTTGACCGGGTGAAATAAGGTTCACCTCAAGTACAGTATTATCATTTAGAAATTTTCAGTATTTGACATTGTGTTAGAAATAATTAATATGTAGAGTAAAAGTAAATAAAGTTTTTGTTCTTTTTCACTACTGTTGAATTTATTGACCGTGTATCAGTTTACAGAAAGTGTGCCTCCTCACCAGTTGTATTATGAATAACTTCAAAAAAACACATTAAAATATCAAGTTAACAATACTTTAATTTATACACTATAATACATTAACATGACTTTACATGTTTCTCTATCTTTTGTTGTATTAAAATTGTAAAGTGGAATCAATGACTGTCCTTGAACAAAGAAAAAATACAGGGAGAATTTAAATAGAATGGAAAATATAATAACACTGAAATTTATATATTATCTGTCAACATTTTTGAAATAGTCAAAGGCTTGTATAGAATTTATGGTGAAAATTCTTCAAATTATATATGATTGGTACAATGTCAAGTAGATTATGTTTCACAGAATGAAATGAGATTCCTAATTTAGTCTAAATTAACGCTACTTAAAGTAATTAAAATTATCTGTGAAAATAACATGTTCATGCTTGATAGGCTATGTATTGCTTGATAGGCTATGTATTGCTTGATAGGTAATGCATTGTTTGGTAGGCTATGCATTGCTTGGTAGGCTATGCAATGTTTTGGTAGGCTATGCATTGCTTGATATGCTGTGCATTGGTTGGTATGCTATGCATTGCTTAGTAGGCTATGCATTGCTTAGTAGGCTATGTATTGGTTGGTAGGCAGTTACATATTTTCTTACCTAATAACCCAGACAAACCTAATAGTGTAAAGTCATTGTTGGTAGGACATTCAGGGGCACACCTGGTTCTCTACTGTTGACATTGGTTGTCAGTATCATAGATACTGCTGAAAAAAGTAATAATATGATAAAATTGTCAGCTATCTTCATGGAGCAGTGTTTCAACAATCTTGTCCTAACTCATTAGTGTTTTGGTAAAAGCAGTGTATAATTGTAAAGTTTGGTATAGGTCTATAGAGTTAGGTGCTTAGTTTTGTGATTCAAGTTAAGGTTAGAATTAGCCAAACTAAAGAAGATATTATAAAAAATTTGAGAAATTGCTTTCAGATATTACTGATCAAAATATTAAATGAAAAAAGAGAAGGTGACAGGTTCAGAATCCAGAATATTTATTAACCAGGTTTTCAATTTTGAAAATCCTGGTTATTAGATTGGGGTATGGCGGGCGGATGGGCGGATGGGCGGGCGGGCGTCAAACGAAATTGTGTCCGCTCTGTAACTCTTCAACCCTTTGAAGAATTTTGATGAAACTTCAGACAAATGTTTACCACATCAAGATGACGTGCAGAACGCATGTTCCGCATGGCTGGCTCCAAGGTCAAGGTCACAGTGACATTAACATTGAAAATCCTGTCCGCTCTGTAACTCTTCAACCCTTTGAAGAATTTTGATGAAACTTCAGACAAATGTTTACCACATCAAGATGACGTGCAGAACGCATGTTCCGCATGGCTGGCTCCAAGGTCAAGGTCACAGTGACATTAACATTGAAAATCCTGTTTACATGATTTTAACTTGATTTGGCAGTCAAAGGTCATATCATCTTTGGAGGTAATTTAAAAAAGATATGATATATTATTTCATGTCTACTTTGTAACTTGTTTTTCATTATACAGAATTATCAATATAATTATAGTGAACAAATTCTTCTGTGCTGAACTCGTCCTACATTTCTCAACGGATTTTGTTCAAACTTTCACAGAAGCTTTGTCATCAAGCACCCTGGCACATATTGTCGGGGTTTTGTGATTGGATAGTTTTTGACCTAATTATGGCCCTTTGTTTTTTTCCTTATACATAATATTATAGTGAACACTTCTTCAGTGGCAATTCCTCCTACATTATTCATGTTTTACATTGCACATAGTTACATTGTTTGTTGCTTGTATTTGTATTTCAAATACAACATATTTATCTACAATGGTGATAATTGAAAACCTGGTTTCATGGCATTGCCATGTTTCTTGTTTTTTTATTTTATTTATTGCCAGTCTGTATTTGAAACATGATTAAAATATGGCCAGAATCTGCAGCATACTAACTTAACAATGAATTAATATATCTGTCTGTGAAATTAACTCTTAAACTGACAAATTTGTTACTCCATTATTAATTTTAGGAATATCAAACTTAAAATGAAAAACGAAAACAAAACAAGAAACCCAACAGTCAAAAGTACTGAGCCTGATCAGACGATATGCATGTGCATGCTGGCCTTGCTCTATACAGGTAGAATGAGGCTATAATCACTCTCATCTCCAGAATGTTAAGGATTAAAACTATTATTTCTATTTATGTATATTTAGGTAAGATGTTCACGAAGATGTCAGTGGATCATACAATAATGTTAGAGAATGAAGCTGGTGGCATATACTCTCTACAGTATTCATTTGATGGTAAATTTCTCGCTGTCGGATGTGGAAACGGAACTATAAGGGTAACTATCTGATTAATAGAAAATTTAGCTAAAAATTCAGGCATAGTTTTGTTACTTTGGCCATAGACTTTTTTCTATATAATGTTACATACAGTAAAGGAGGCATTTTCAATACCAAAAAGTTGGAGGGGGAAGGAAGCGTGGCTTTGAAATGTGAAGCTGAAGATTGTTAAGATTGATAATTACTCCTTCACATGAAACAATGTAACACTGTTAAGCTCTGAGTAGTAAGTTTAGATAGCTGGTCAAACATTTTAAAAGAAAGGCTTTCACCCTAGCGATCACAATTTAAGTTAAATACTGTACAATGGGTACATAAGGTAATAAACTAATGCTAGAAATCTATAGTTTGAACTATATTCATAAAATTTTACCCTTAACTTCAATGGACTTGTCTAGTTCCAATTTTTCGAGAGACCTATGTGGCTAGTTGTTAATGTTGCTGGCTTCATACCATTTGCCCCTCACCTCTGTAGGTTTGAATCAAACCAGACTTAGGATTCTTTTATGTGAGAAAGCTAGCTTACAGAAGGTTTGTCAATGGTGGTTCTACTCTGGTACTTGCTAATGCCTGAAGTAAATAGACAATTTTGGTACTGTTTATTATAAATTTAAGGAACATCAAGAAAATTTTTTAAGTGTAACAGTATAATGAATAAAATCCAACCATTACAACAAACTGTTTTTATTTTATTTTCAGTTATATGAACCTAAATCAGGGAGAAAACTTGGTGATATAAGAAAGACTCGGTATGGTGGTTTTCCTATCATGGTGTTAAGATTTAATCCTAAAAATCCAAGTCATATATATGGTGGTACTTCTGAGGGACAAGTTCTGGATTGTGACATATCAGACTTTGTAAGTGAAGATGGAAAAGATATAGATTTTAATCATATTCCAAGTGATAAGGATGAGCGCTGGAAGGAAATCATAACAGGTGTGTTCATCTTCCTTTATGTTACAAGTTACAATAATTGAAGTCATCTTTAAACAGAGGTAGTCAGTCCTCATCTTTATACAAAAGAAGTTAGTCCTCATCTTTATATAGAGGTAGTCAGTCCTCACCTTTATACAGAGGTAGTCAGTCCTTATCTTTATACAATGGTAGTCAGTCCTCATTTTTATACAGAGGTAGTCAGTCCTCATCTTTATACAAAAAAAGTCAGTCCTCATCTTTATACAAAATTAGTCAGTCCTCATCTTTATACAAAGGTAGTCAGTCCTCATCTTTATACAAAAATAGTCAGTCCTCATCTTTATACAAAAGTAGTCAGTCCTCATCTTTATACAAAAATAGTCAGTCCTCATCTTTATACAAAAATAGTCAGTCCTCATCTTTATACAGAGGTAGTCAGTCCTCATCTTTATACAAAAATAGTCAGTCCTCATCTTTATACAAAGGTAGTCAGTCCTCATCTTTATACAAAAATAGTCAGTCCTCATCTTTATTCAAAGGTAGTCAGTCCTCATCTTTATACAAAAATAGTCAGTCCTCATCTTTATACAGAGGTAGTCAGTCCTCATCTTTATACAGAGGTAGTCAGTCCTCACCTTTATACAAAAATTGTCAGTCCTCATCTTTATACAGAGGTAGTCAGTCCTCATCTTTATACAAAAATATTCAGTCCTCATCTTTATTCAAAGGTAGTCAGTCCTCATCTTTATACAAAAATAGTCAGTCCTCATCTTTATACAAAAGTAGTCAGTCCTGGTCTTTATACAGAGGTAGTCAGTCCTCATCTTTATACAAAAGCAGTCAGTCCTCATCTTTATACAGAGGTAGTCAGTCCTCATCTTTATACAAAAAACAGTCTGTCCTCATCTTTATACAAAGGTAGTCATTCCTCATCTTTATACAAAAATAGTCAGTCCTTGTCTCTATACAGAGGTAGTCAGTCCTCATACTTATACAAATGTAGTCAGTCCTCATCTTTATTCAAAGGTAGTCAGTCCTCATCTTTATACAAAAGTAGTCAGTCCTCGTCTTTATACAGAGGTAGTCAGTCCTCATCTTTTTACAGAGGTAGTCAGTCCTCATCTTTATACAAAAGCAGTCAGTCCTCATCTTTATACAGAGGTAGTCAGTCCTCATCTTTTTACAGAGGTAGTCAGTCCTCATCTTTATACAAAGGTAGTCAGTCCTCATCTTTATACAAAAATAGTCAGTCCTCATCTTTTTACAGAGGTAGTCTGTCCTCATCTTTATACAAAAGCAGTCAGTCCTTGTCTCTATACAGAGGTAGTCAATCTTCATCTTTATTCAAAGGTAGTCAGTCCTCATCTTTATACAAAAGTAGTCAGTCCTGGTCTTTATACAGAGGTAGTCAGTCCTCATCTTTATACAGAGGTAGTCTGTCCTCATCTTTATACAAAGGTAGTCAGTCCTCATCTTTATACAAAAGTAGTCAGTCCTCATCTTTATACAAAAGTAGTCAGTCCTCATCTTTATACAGAGGTAGTCAGTCCTCATCTTTATACAAAGGTAGTCAGTCCTCATCTTTATACAAAAGTAGTCAGTCCTCATCTTTATACAAAAGTAGTCAGTCCTCATCTTTATACAAAAATAGTCAGTCCTCATCTTTATACAGAGGTAGTCAGTCCTCATCTTTTTACAGAGGTAGTCAATCCTCATCTTATATACAAAAGCAGTCAGTCTTCATCTTTATGCAGAGGTAGTTAGTCCTCATCTTTTTACAGAGGTAGTCAGTCCTCATCTTTATACAAAGGTAGTCAGTCCTCATCTTTATACAAAAATAGTCAGTCCTCATCTTTTTACAGAGGTAGTCTGTCCTCATCTTTATACAAAGGTAGTCAGTCCTCATCTTTATTCAAAGGTAGTCAGTCCTCATCTTTATACAAAGGTAGTCAGTCCTCATCTTTATACAAAGGTAGTCTGTCCTCATCTTTATACAAAGGTAGTCTGTCCTCATCTTTATACAGAGGTAGTCAGTCCTCATCTTTATATAAAGGTAGTCAGTACTCATCTTTATACAAAGGTTGTCATTTTTCATCTTTATACAGAGGTAGTCAGTCCTCATATTTAAACAGAGGTAGTCAGTCATCATATTCAAACAGAGGTAGTCAGTCCTCATATTATTACAGAGGTAGTCAGTCCTCATTTTTAAACAGAGGTAGTCCCTCCTCATCTTAAAACAGAGGTAGTCAGTCCTCATCTTTAAACAAATGTAGTCAGTCCTCGTCTTTATACAATGTAGTCATTTCTCATCTTTATACAGAGGTAATCAGTTGTCTTCTTAATAGAGAAGTCTTCAGTCCTTTGCATAAAATGCAGCGTTTTTATTGTCCTCTATTATAAACTATCCTGTTTTGTGAAAAAAACGTATATGGTTTCTTGATTTATCTGTTTTCCATATTTAAAGAAAAGGTTTAAGCTTTGTACTCAGTTTGTTGACATGTTGTTTTGACTTTACAGAAAAGAAAGGTTTAGAGAAAAATGAAATAAATTGTATGGACTTTGATTACACATACACAAGATTTGCTACAGCTGGAAAAGATCTGAGTGTCAGAATCTATGATGTTCAAACAAGTCAGGTAAAAATATATTAATGTATATAATGCCCATTTATGTTTAGTTTCCCCTTCTGAAAGAGAGCAAGAATAATGACTTATTTATGCTGGACCTGCATGAAAAATATTTTCAAAATCCTCTAAATAACAGGCATCAGTTTGAAATCAAAAGCATTTTAAATAAACCCCACTAATTTAGCAAGTTCAAAGTTAACCTTTATAAAGTTTTTAGTACAAACTGAGATACTTATACAAACTGACACCTAACCAATTCAGACAAACATTAAGTAATTGAAGAAAATTTTAAGATTATTTCATTCAGCGAAGACTTTGCATTCAGTAGACAAACACTGTCCTGGACCTAGCAGGGCCCTGGGTTGAGAATTAAACACACACAATCACTAGGGTCATAGGCTATATATCACTTCTTTTAATTTATGTAATACAATGTACATGTATTTTTGAGTTGGCTTATTTTAGCATCTTATACTCAATTTCATATTCAATTTCTTGAGTATTAAAGTTGATAAAAGATTATAAACTATGCATTTACCATGCAAATATTCAATCATTCTGTCTTATTTCTTATTAGATTATTTATCTATGCAAAATGTGTTGTTCACTAAAACATTTTTTTTTTATTTAAGAGAATGTAAATTTGTTCATACTTTGAGTACTCTAATGTGCAAATGATTTTTTGAAGTTTTTGAAGCCTTTTACATTTGTTAAATGTAGAAATTGATCTTGTACTTTTTAGTGCAAAGTAAATAAAAATGAGCTTTAAAAGCCATGCATTTATTGATAAGTTTGTTATGCTGTTGAATAGACATAAAATGCATTCACTTAAACACTTGTAATGACATTTAAAGTAAAACAAAAAATTAGTGTTCCTCCCACAGACATGTTTAAGCTTGAAACTTTAAATTACATGATCTTCAATACAATAGGCTAGTCATCAGAAAAAGCTAAATACTTTTTAATATTTTGACTAGGTACACTATTGAGTTTTAAGTTGTACAATGATTCTTCTGTGTGTTTGCTCATAGCAAATGAATATTTTTTGTTTTACTGTGAATTCATTCAATTTCAGGGGCATGAGGTTTAGTGGTTTTGTCTCAAAAGACATTTTCGTGGCTTCTTAAATTCCTGGCTTGCCTATTTTTTTCAAAAGAAATACAAATAATGTAATGATTTTACAGCAGATGAAATGAAATTCTGTTGTATCTGAAATTCATAAACAGACCTAACCACGAAAACCATGAAAATTAGTACCCCACGAATAATAATGAATTGGCAATAGGTAAGTTTAAACTTTCAATCAAGCCTAAATGATAGTTGATATCACTTTATTCTCTTGTCTCTCTTTTTTTATTCATATTTATTTTCTGTTTGCTACAGTTGGTAAATGAATATACAGGGTATGATAACACTAAAGACCCGACAAACCAGCAGTTTTCTGGATGTAGCCAGCGAGTATTTTCACTGAGGTTTCACCCTGAATATGATGATATATTTGTCACTGGTGGCTGGGATAGACAACTCAAGGTAACTTAAACATATATAGAGGATATTTGTTTAGTTCAGTGTAAGATCGGAATATATTTCACCGAGTGAGCACCAAAAGGTATATTTCACGAGTGGCGCAGCCACGAGTGAAATATGAACTTTTGGTGTTCACAAGGTGAAATATATTTCGATCTTACACTGAACTAAACAAATATCCTCTATATATGTTTAAATATGAACTTTTGGTGTTCACAAGGTGAAATATATTTCGATCTTACACTAAACTAAACAAATTTTCTTTTTATTATATGCAAAGAAACATTTTAAAAAGACATTAAACCTAATACTGAATGAAAAGCGCGCCAAATAATAATACAACGTGACGTCATTTACGACGTCACGTCATTTAGTTGGTTCCTAGTACTGTGCACGCTGGTATTTCACTGAAACAACGTAAGGGGCTAAAATTCAAAACAGTGAAATTATCAAATTGATAATTTCACTGTTTAAAACAGTGAAATTACCAGTTTTATATCACTGATATATTTCTATAAACCACCGAAAAGCATGTAATAAATGTACATCATTCTGTGTGTAACCTGGTTTTATCCACGCAGGAATAAACATTTGAAGCACTCATTACAAGACTGCTGTAACTATAGTTGAGATTATTAGCAAGTTATGATTATTTTGCAATAAGTCTCAGCGTTTTTTTTTATTATTGTCATAATTCTCTTTTTGAAGATTATGATCTAGCAGTTTTATCATTACATCAATATTCTCTTTTCTTAAAGGGAAATCACTCCAGTGCTGAAAGACTAGAATATGTTGAAAGTTGTCTCCCATATTCAGTATAATTCTTTGTAAAAATATTCTTTGATTGAAAAATCTTCCGAAAGCTTGAATTTCTAGCAGTGGCACTGCAAAAGCTTTCATTTTTATTTGAAATACAGTCCTGGAATTATGATATAAAGCTTTTTAAAATGAAAATGATATAATGATGTGCTGTTTAAACTAGTACTATATAAACAGTATGAAGCAGATACCTGAAATACTGGTTTAGATTTTATGAATATGATGTTATTGTATAATTACAGATTTGGGATGCAAGGTCTAATGATGGAGTTAAGAGAACTATTCATGGACCACACATTTGTGGAGATTCCCTAGATTTAAAGGTAAAATGTTTAACTTTTAACCTACTAGAACCATGATGAATGATAAAGCTTTGTCACCAGTATAGAGCCAGGCCAGCCTAAACATCCGTGCAGTCTGACACCAGGCTCTATACTGTTGGCTGACTTAACTGTAAACTTTCATCTTGATATCCCCAAAATCTAAAATTGAACAATTCTGAATAGATGGTTTATTAATATCTGAATAGATAAAGACCAAAGAGAAATACTTATGTGTCTCTTTCTTATTTTGAGACAAACAATTGTACATGTATTTACCCTTATCTAAAACTTTCTCTTTTTGAAAGAGGAATCCAAAGATTTGTAATGTTTCAGTTCATGAGAAGAAAATGTTTTTATCATTGAAAAAGTTTTAAATTAGGAAGTTTTGATGAAGATACTATTACTAATGTGTAAAATGATTGTCAATTTTTATGTGTACTGTATTCAACAAATTGTTTGTTTATTCAAGAACTGTGTTTGCAGTGGCCTTTTGTCAGGGTCTGTTATATATGCAGAAAAATCACTGATTTGTCTGTTTCATGTTGTATTATTCATATAACAAGTGACCTTTATTTTTATTTGTTTATTTTGGGTTTTACATCACATCCACACAGTATAGGTCATATCGCGACGTTCCAACTTTACTGGTGGAGGAAGACCTCAGGTGCACTTTCGTGCATTATTTCAGGCACGAACGGGCACCTGAGTAGAACCACCGACATTCCGTAAGCTAGCTTGATAGCTTCCTCACATGAAAGAATCCAAAGTCCCTGTCGGGACAAGTGACCTTTCATTATATTTCTAGTGTAAAGCTTTAGTTATTGTTTTATTTTTTCAAGGGTTATAAAATACTGACAGGATCGTATGTTGGGCATGACGCCCTTCAGATCTGGGATTATAGTACAGATTATGGAGCAAGCACGAAGAATAAGCCAAAGTTAATTGATTTCCCAGCTGGACCAAATGGTCCATTCATATACGCATCTCAATTCTGTGACAATGATGTTGTAGTAGCTGGTGGTAGTGGAACTAATAGTGCAATGGCAATTAATTCAGAGACCAATGAGGTATGTTTGTAAGATATATTTGTATGTGTCTGTGAGATATATTTGTTTATGTCTGTGAGATATATTTGTTTATGTCTTTGAGGTATATTTGTTTGTGTTAGTGAGGTATATTTGTTTGTGTCTGTGAGATATATTTGTTTGTGTCTGTGAGATATATTTGTTTGTGTCTGTGATATATTTGTTTGTGTCTGTGAGATATATTTGTTTGTGTCTGTGAGATATATTTGTTTGTGTCTGTGAGATATATTTGTTTGTGTCTGTGAGATATATTTGTTTGTGTCTGTGAGGTATATTTGTTTGTGTTTGTGAGATATATTTTTTCGTGTCTATGAGATATATTTGTTTGTGTCTGTGAGATATATTTGTTTGTTTCTGCTAGGTGTGTTTGTTTGTTTTTTGCTAGGTATGTTTGTTGTGTTTGTGAGATATATGTTTGCTTATGTCTGTGAGATATGTTTGTTTGTTTCTGCTAGATTTGTTTGATTATGTATGTCAGACAGACAGACAGACAGGTTTGTTTGTATCTGTGAGGGTTTAAGATAAATGAATCTGTGTGGTATGTATATTTTGTCTGTTTGGTATGTATGCTTGAAGTTACTGAATATAGGTAAAAATATGTTATCTTATTTGCCTTGAGTACTATATAAGTGAAACAGAATTTTAGAAATGCCAGGCAACTAATATGTGTAATGATTTATTTTGTTCAGGTACTTGGGGAGGTTAAATTTGATCATCCGGTTCAAGCCATTGATACATTTAATGGAGGAAGAATGTTTGCTGTGGGAGACGGTAAAAGATGTCTCAAGTTGTGCAGTCTTCACTAAACAATTATTCTACATTTAAAACTTTATAATGTTCATTAAACTAAAGGTGGACACAAGTATTATAGTTGCATGAAATTAAGTATTTAAATGTAACTGAAAAACAAAATGCATTTTTGTTTGTTTTGGCCTTGGAAAAAAGGCATTGTAAGAAAAGTCGCTACTCAGCATAAGGTGTTTTGACATTAATGTCATACATATCCTTTATGTTGAAAGGCAGTATGACATTGTTATATGATAAATATCTTGACATTGAACAAGAATGTTTGACATTAATGTATTCCATTGTATTTTGATCTAGAATCTTGAAGGTGTTACAGAGTAAAGAGCTTGATATATTAAACAGAATATTTTATAATGATTAATTTGACTTTAACATTTCAAAGTTTTGTTTTTAAAAGATTGTTTCTGTACCTGAGTTCTTGTTATCTTAAGAGCTGAATTGCTAAGTATTATTAATAATATTTGTGGCAAACATATTTTGACAGTATCAACAATATGTTGAGCAATACAGATATGACTACATCATTTTATATACAGGAAATGTTGGCCTTTAACAGAGTCTTTTTTGTTTGATGATTGCCGTATTATGAAGAAAAAAAAAGAAATATTTTATATGTTGTTTATATTTAGATGGATCAGTGGTATGATATAAGACATTTCTGGAAATAAGTCAGCGGTTCTTCTCTTATATTATGCAGACTTGTTAACATTTAAAAAAGGTAATGTTGAAATCATGTCATGTGTTTTTTGCCAATCTAGTAAATATTTTAAACAGCCGTATGTCATTGGAACTGTTCTCAATTTTAAAAAAGCTTATTTCCAGGACAAGTTTTAAGGTTCAAAGCTGATATTTGTCAGGAAATCATTTCCATCATCCTGAGTATAGTATATTTTTGCATAAATGGTTGTCAATGAGCTTATTATGTGACACATATAAACATTTTTATAAGTCATAGTATTTTGAAAATTGTAAAAAAAGCACAAAAGTAAAACTTTAAATGATTTATGTGCCTGTAAGATATAACTAAGTATTATATTACAATTCCAAAGAAGTTATTACTATTATAAAGCATTCCGTCCATGTATACGTATTGTCTCAATATTTAATTTTGTAAAACTCTATTTGTACAATTTGTGATACTCAAAAGCTTCAAATATATTTCATACTTTAATTTTAAATAATGTATCATTATGCAATGATTAACATTCCAACCAGGGTTATATCATACTTGCTACAATTATATTGTAACTTTATGTTTGAAGATTCATCATTCCGTCCTGTAGCAGAATATATATTTTTGAATGATATATACACATATGTGTTAGTGATACTGCTGGCTTTACTTTCATTCTGATTTTGTCATCGTGTTGCTGATTCTAAAAATAAATATTTTGATATGTTTCTATCTCTGTTTGTTTCTTTTAAAATAAAATGTACCTGAAAGCTGCTGTTTTTTGAAATAGTTCAACAGTGTTTTTATGTATACTATATATCCTCATTCATAAGACACATTTTTAAGACTAATCTTTATAGCCAAACGAAAGAGGTCGTCTTATAAGTAAGATAAATAGCATCATCGTAACAGTCCTAAGGTTTATTCTACGTTAACTTTGTAGACTGTCTTGTACACGTTTGTAGACATCTTAGTATTTTGTTTAAAAGTGTTAAAGTAATCACCTGTGCTTTGCCTTCCGCCCTGTCCTACTTTTGCTTGGTGTCCTGCTGGGGCTCCTTGCGGGTGGTCCTGTATTGCTGGGTTGTATGGGGGTTAGGTTCATTGAACGCCGCCCTTTCTTACTGATCTTGTTTTTTTCCTTTTTGTGCCCCCACGTTAGTGGCGGGCATTTAGATTTACCCTTGTCCGTCCGTCCGTCTGTCCGTCCGAGCCAACATTTGATTATTATGAGCTTCATTCCGTAGTTAAATAAAGAACATAAACTCATAAAATTTAAAATTAAGAGCTATTTTTTGTTTTTATGAGCTTATTTTGCTTATGGACGTTGGTCCAGGTGGTGTTTATGAGCTCTTTTGCCTCATAAACATCAAATTTTGGTATGTCCGTCCGTCCGTTCACTTTTGTGTCGCATGTAACTCAAAAAGTATTTGACCTAGAGTCATGAAACTTTACAGGAATGTTGATCAGCATGTGTTGTTGTGCACCTGGGTATTTTCGTCTGGATATTTTTAGTATTTTCAGAGTTATTGCCCTTGACTTAGTAAAATTTTGCAATTTTCAACTTGTGTCGCATGTAACTCAAAAAGTATTTGACCTAGAGTCATGAAACTTTACAGGAATGTTGATCAGCATGTGTAGTTGTGCACCTGGGTATTTTCGTCTGGATATTTTTAGTATTTTCAGAGTTATTGCCCTTGACTTAGTAAAATTTTGCAATTTTCAACTTGTGTCGCACGTAACTCAAAAAAGTATTTGACCTAGAGTCATGAAACTTTACAGGAATGTTGATCAGCATGTGTTGTTATGCACCTGGGTATTTTCGTCTGGATATTTTTAGTATTTTCAGAGTTATTGCCCTTGACTTAGTAAAATTTTGCAATTTTCAACTTGTGTCGCATGTAACTCAAAAAGTATTTGACCTAGAGTCATGAAACTTTACAGGAATGTTGATCAGCATGTGTAGTTGTGCACCTGGGTATTTTCGTTCGGATATTTTTAGTATTTTCAGAGTTATTGCCCTTGACTTAGTAAAATTTTGCAATTTTCAACTTGTGTCGCATGTTACTCAAAAAGTATTTGACCTAGAGGCATGAAACTTTATAGGAATGTTGATCAGCATGTGTAGTTGTGCACCTGGGTATTTTCGTCTGGATATTTTTAGTATTTTCAGAGTTATTGCCCTTGACTTAGTAAAATTTTGCAATTTTCAACATGTGTCGCACGTAACTCAAAAAGTATTTGACCTAGAGTCATGTAACTTTACAGGAATATTGATCAGCATGTGCAGTTGTGCACCAGGTATTTCGTCTGGATTTATTTAGTATTTTTAGAGTTAATGCCCTTCACTTAGAAATTTTTTGCAATTTTCAACTTGTGTCGCAAGTTACTCAAAAAGGATTTGACATTGTCATTAAACCTTATGGGCAGGTTGCTCAGCATATTTAGATTTGCACCTGGGGTTTCGCTTGTGGATTTATCCAGTATTTGTAGAGTAATTTCCCTTGACTTAGTAAAAAGATTGATAGAACAGTGGCGCGGTGGGGGCACCCGTGTCCTATGGACACATTTCTAGTTTCTTCATATTTTATAATGCCTTTGACAAAACTTTTCAAAAACACGTTTTTTTACAATAACCTTCTATTGTGAATATTTTTAATAAGTGAATTCATTTCTGTTATGCGACAACTTTTCGTGCTTTTATGTTCATTTATATCAAAAGTTTCTATGGAAAAAAAATAATCGAATTTATTATGTATAACACTATTGAAAAAGTGAAACAGTATAAAAGTGTAACAAAGGCATTCATGAAATTGTGCAATTATTCACCAGATACAAACATAAATTCCTCATTTGGTCTGAGTACCGGATGGATATAGTACTAAAATGAAAACGGAACTTTTCAACCTATTCCATTTAACTTGATACGGACATCAAAGAAAACAGTAAAGATACATCGACGTATATTTGGTCATTTCGGTTAACATGCGCTACAAAATAAAGAAATAAATAAAATAAAATAGGGAAAAAAAGTATACAAATAGTAAGGAATTGCTTCCTTTTATTTTATCTTGCCGTGTTAAAGTCAACTTATATAATGTAAATTCAAAAATAAAAGAATAAAAGATACGTCTAAGTATTGTGTTTTTACAAAACAAATGTATAACTGAGATGGCTTTGTTTATTTAATTTATTTAATTTGTATGTTAAAAAGTTTCATGTCGGAAATCCACATGATAGCTGTAAGATTCAATTGGACATAAGGTTTTTTGGATGAAAATGTCATGTTGTGAAAAATATATCGGCTACCCTTATATGGTATAAACAAAATTGAATATTTATGTATAATGTAACTCATTCTCCTCCCCCACCATGAGGATGAATACTCAGTTTTGAGTTATGTTGAAGGATCTGGGCCCGAGGTTACAAAGAAATTGTATAAGCCCGTTCAGAGTTCTGGATTTCTGGTATATTTCACTTTTTTACAGTTTCAAAATGAGTACATATTTACCATATAGATTAGTTAATATAATATTTTGGCAGTTTTAATATACATGTAGTGTAGTGTTAAGTGTTTAGAAAAATATATGCGTTAATCACTGAGTCATAAAGTGCCTTTTAGCCTTCCCAGTCTGTGGTACCAAGCAAAATTAGAGCTTTTAGCACTTTACGCTGTGGGACAATGTATTCCCTTTTCGCAAGCTTAATGCACCGGAGTCCATAGTTACAGTTTATTTTATTGATTCTTTACTCTCGGGGTATTTCAAAACAATTTAGCTATCGGCAAATTACATCATACATCTTGTTATATATAATTTATCATCACTACCTTTAATAAGGTAAAAGCATTTTATTTGATGTTGTTAATGAGATTATATTAAAACGTTCATCAGTACAAAATATATATCGATCAATGATAGAATATAATAACTGCTAAACTTTAAAGTTCCATGGAGTTTTAGGCTCACATCAAAGATGACATTTACCTCGGGATTTTACGAGATTAGCTTTTATAAGCTTTTATAAGTAAGGTAAGTGCATTGTGTTTTACTTACTATTCATTCGTATACACAATTTCTCAGAATATTTTTAATTTTCAAGAAAAATGCACATGAAATGTAATTTCTTTTAAAAAGATCCTTGCTTAATGTCATTTATGTATATTGATGTTTAAATATATAAATTTAATTTCTCATACTTCCATTTTAGTATTGCAATTTGCAAAGTGTATGTGCAAATTATTTGACACGCCCGTTAATAACATTTAATTTCAGATATGAAAACGCTGATCAACCGCAGATATGCCTTTATAATACTTAAATACATTTGTTAGATTTCGTTTTCGTAGAAATTTCTGTTGCTCTTTGGAATAAATTGAAATATTTTACCATTTTAGTGGGTTAGTGGACAATAATGAAAAGCGGATGTTTTTTATATCTCTATTGCTAAACGAATATATAGACTAATTATGCGAGAGGAAAATATTTTAGATTTTATTTTATTAAAATAAATTATCATTAATCTCCTTGTAATAGTAAGAGAGTTTTATTTTGTTTGAGTAAAATATGGAATATTACTTTCACGAAATATGATAAAATTCCATATATTTTCAAGAGCCGGATCGGCTGGTGTAAAGAATTTTTATTTTATTATTTTGAGTGAAAATGTGTTCTAGATTTCACGAAAAAAGAAAAAAATACTTATTTTATTTTACCAAGAAGCAGAAGAAGAAAAAATAAACAAAATTTAACGGTTACTGACGCGGTTCAATACACAATAAATTATTTTCAGATTTTCTGTTGATAAACTGCATGTCTGTTAAATTTAGCTTTTACCGTATCACACCTGATTATTAAGTGAAGAGAACCGAATATTTTTACTCCATACTATTTTGAAAATATCAAAATATTTTATAGAATAGAATCTTTAAACATTAAAGTATCTCTTAGAATTGATAAACACATTCGGGACTATTTCTTATAGATATGGCCATCAGCGCTGTAAATGTGCATATTTTGCGCGCGGCATGTAATCGTCTAATCGAGAGGTTCTTGACAAGTTTTTTTTTCAAAATACACGCGTGGAAAATCAATGCATTCCTATTTTTTGTGTTTTCCTTGCATACAACATATTAATCATATTTCTGATTAATATTTTCATTTAGCACTTTTTAGCTCGACTATTCGATAAGAATAAGTAGAGATATTGTAGTCACCCGAGCGTCGGCGTCTGCGTCTGCGTCCGCGTCCGCGTCGGCGTAACCACTTATGTTAAAGTTTTTGTAATACTTCAAATATTTTCTAAGTTCATTGACATATGGCTTTGAAACTTTGCACACTTGTTCACCATCATGACCCCAACCTGTAGACAGGAGGAGATAACTGTATCAAGCATTTTGACAGAATTATGCCTCTTTTTCGACTTAGAATTTACGTTAAAGTTTTTGTAATACCTCAAAGATTTTCAAAGTCCATTGACATATGGCTTTGAAACTTTGCACACTTGTTCATCAATATGATCCCAACCTGTAGACAGGAGGAGATAACTGTATCAAGCATTTTGACAGAATTATGCCCCTTTTTCGACTTAGAATTTACGTTAAAGTTTTTGTAATACCTCAAATATTTTCAAAGGCCATTGACATATGGCTTTGAAACTTTGCACACTTGTTCACCATCATTTCCCCAACCTGTAAACAGGAGAAGGTAACTGTATCAAGCATTTTTTTTA